TGATATATTTGCAGACGACACATTGCAAAGAGAACAAATTCCAAGAATGATGATGACAATGAGTAAAACCAAACAAGTTATCCTGAAAAATAAGAGAGAAAAGGCATTCAGTGGATATTAATTATTGCCTCCTAAATTATACTTAACCATTATATTCTTAGTATATTGCATGATTATACTGTGAAGTTTCGTTACTCAAAATGATCTACCGATTTATCATGAACTTTTATAGTTGATTAATGAAATATTTATTTTTTAACTAGTACATGTATATACAATTACATTTTTTCTCATGTATGATTTTCTTGAAATATTTTGGCTCATCTGGAGACATGCATCTTTAACATTATCAATTTTGAACTCTATGGTTTTACCCATGAAAAGTTAAATTCATAAAATATGTAAAATGTTTGTATAGTTACGTTTTCTTGCAAAATCTTCCGCGAAGAACATTTCGCCAAGATGCCCGTGCGGTAACTGACAACCTAAGGAAGCGAAAAAATAATATAATATCATTTGTTTAAACATAAATAACGAGGGAGCGGAGGGCTACTAGGTAACCACTTGGATAACGAGGGAGCGGAGGGCCACTAGGTAACCACTTGGATAACGAGGGAGCGGAGGGCCACTAGGTAACCACTTGGATAACAGACCAGAGGACTGATAACCAAGAGGCAAATAGACGCATATTTAACATGACCGAACGAATAAACATATGAAACGGGTCTGAATATGTAAAAAATGTAAAATATAATGATTTAATATTTTTTTTAGTTTCTTTTTCTATGCATACACATCTACGCTATTTTCGATTTGTCAAACATATGGTGGCTGATTTGTGCAATGGCGTATTTTCGCTCCGCGGGGCGCTAGACGAATCCCAATAATGCCCTTTTGTCCTTTTATTCATTAAAACAAGAAAATACAAGAAAAGCATTGATGCAAAGCATCAAAGGGCGTCCAAGCAAGAAATGCAGAAAGTGAAGATGAACTAGTAGACATATGATGACAAGATATTCTTATAAACTTTTCAATGGTTAATTGGTTTTTACCAGAATGAACGGACGAAAGACATGCATTGTTCATTATGACCTTTGATTGGCATGCTAGAGATTAAAATATTACTTGTTATTTCTTTATGATCGTGATTATTAATAGCAATGAATAAACATGTATACAATCATTTATAATCCATATGTGTAACGCATGATCAACACCACACTTGTGGAATTGTCTCTTATTATGGTATCGCTATTAGCGAAGACCCCCTCTTAAGGTATCTGTTCACACTTAGTAAAAATATGACACTGGTTATATGACCATGTTGATCATGTTTAGCATAATTGTTTATTATACAATAATTGTAATAGCTATTTTAATAAAAAAAAATACAGATTTTATGAATATTGATTTCCTCTCTTTTTTCGTGTTTTATGTGCTATTTTAATACTGAGTTTTCACGTTAACTACTCTTATTAAAATTGTAAAATAAATTTTAAGAATTTAATTGTCATATTGACCGACGATTATAAGTCAAAACTTAACTGGAAATCAGTAAATTATGCTTTATCTTTCAATATATAATATTGCTTATTCTTAAACCATGTACATGTACATTTGTATTTTTCTTTATCATTTTTTTTAAATTATCAATCAATTGAATAATTCATAAAATCTAATTTGTAACTTTGAATAATTCCTGGGCATCTTTACTAAACACGAATAACAAAATAAATAAAATGTTTCAAAGTTGATAGTGTCATATTTATACCATAAAAATGTATCTTTTTCTCAATTATTGTACATATTTATTGTTTTATCTCATAAAGATAAAATGAAACATGCTATTGTTGTTGGGTTTTTTTTCGAATTGTATGTTTATGTATAATAATAATCAATAAATTTGAGAGTTGATCTATGTTTATTAATTATTGTTACCAAACTAAGTGACATACATTCATTTTGGAAAAAAAGCTTATTTATCTATAAAATATCTGTTCTGTTCTGTAACGATATCAAACATCTACTCCAAAACCGGGAGAGACCGGACAATAAACGTGTGATACTATTCGCCGGTCACTAGTAAATCCCGGTCAAAATAGAGCGGGAGAGACCGGGAATTACCGATAGCAGTACATCCCTCTATAAGGCCAACATTTTTTTATTAAATGTTTTACGGGACATTTTTTTAAAAAATTGGGTCGGGGGGGGATAAATAAAAATAAAAATAAAATTCAATTTTTTGATCAGTCGACCACAAAATAAAAATAAAATGACAAATGAGGTGAATTTTTTTTTATTTTCGAACATTTTTTTTAACACTCCAAAAACAGATTTTTTATCCATAAAATCAATGATTTTATAGTTTTGAAATATTTTTGACATGATTTTTAACAAAATAATTGAAAAAAAATGTTTTAAGTCACTTTTGCTTTTGTTTTATGTAAATATTTAATGCTGATCTAGAATTTGTATTAGTTTGTCTTTTCGCATTTAGGGCAAACATGCCACACAACTCCAAATTCATTGTTTAGTCCCTTCATTTCAAGAGTATCCAAACAAGGTTGTATTGCCATTCTCAAGCTTTACAATACTGAAACAAGCTTGCAACCTGATTATAGTGATAGAACAACCAACCTATTATAAGCTTACTGATAGTTTCCTCATGGTAATCCAAAGTAAGTTCCTGACAGGATTCTTATCAACAACATCACATAGGGAGAGTGATTTGAGGTCAGAAACCTTAACCATTCACAGAGGTACAAACATAATATTGTACAATGTCAGTTTCACAAGGTAAATTAAATCAACAACTTTAAATTATCTTTAAGAGAGTAAGTTATGTATGTGCAAAAAAGTTGCAATTTCTGAAAATTATTCATAGTTCAAATGATTAGTAAAATGAAAGTCATTGACAGTAAATAGAAAATCAAATGGCATACATTGTTACAAAATCAGGGTTTTCTGTAGAGAATTTATTACAGGCAATTGTTTACAGAAATGTCAAAGAGGACTTATGCTCATAATCTTACATTGCAAAAAAAGGCCAATTTTCTCAATATTGATCTAGTAAAAAACACATAACTACTGCCTTTAGTCTACTGGTCATGATATAATATAAACTTAATAAATGTTATAGATGACTGTGTTCAATTATAAACAAGCCTTGTATTCCACAAGACATTACAACAAAAAAGTCTTTCCACCAAAGAACTTTCAGGAATTTATTATTTTGGTATTATAAATTAATCAATTGTTTTCAAAGATTCATAATAAAGATTTTTTATTATCAATTTACTAACAATAAATGTTAGATTCTACAATGTAAGTAGAACTCGTACGAGTTGAATTTCGATTACTCAATTTTCTCCATATGTCAAAGTAAAATGCAAGTCCAGATTTTCCTCTTATATTTTTTATAAAAACCTATACATGAGTCTAAATTTTAATGTTTTAAAGTTTTCTCATGTTCCGTGGTAAATCGAGTAAATATTTCAATCTGACACCTTAGTCGATCATCGACTTTGATCCCGTGCCCATTTAATTTTTTACAACTGTTCTGAAAGTGTAGATGATTCAAATCAACTTATGCAATGGATGTTACTTCCCAGTCGTGCTTTCTAACAGCTTTGCAGGCTATCATGTGTGATAAAATGCTCTAATATTTATTCCTCAAATTGCCATAGTTGTATTGAAAGCGAACTTTCATGACCCCGCGACCTTTCATGACCCGGTGTCGCGTGATATTCACACGGGTTAATTTATTACAAGCTTGTTAAGTTATTGCCCTTCCCTTTTGTTACGCCTTCTGTAACATTTTGTAAACATCAAAGGGATTAACTTTTCATTTGTTTTAAGCAAGTTTCTTTGCTTTACCAAGATTCTACAGTTAAGTACCGAGTAACTTTTAATTTTGACAGAAGTGGGTAAGAGAGGTCGGCGGACAAAATGAAAATAAAAGTTCTTAAATGAACTTTTATTTTTATTTGATTTTCTCTAAAAATACGGTCGGCGGTCCCGTAAAACATTTTATAAAAAAATGTTGGCCTAAGTAGATTTTCGGAATGTTTAGGTCATCAACTCATGATCATCATTCTATTTTAACATACCATAAAAACCCACTGTGTACTACAAAATGATAAATAAAAAAACCGAAGAGACGGAAAAGGTTATTTCATGCATTGCGAAATTCTCCAGTTTGCTATTCATTGTACATATCGAGACATTTTTTTTAATCAAGCACCCTCATACCGATCGGAATGATCGGCTTTTATTATGACCGACTTATTAGGGCTCGAGAAGTTGCTGTCGCCCTTTCACAAAATCTGATTTCATTCCATAAGGGCGCCGCGCTTCGGCGCGGACGCCAACGAAAATGTCAGCACTTTATCGTACCCCGTGTCTTCGTCTAGCGTCCTGCGGAGCGAAAATACGACATAGCACAAACCAACCATTTCAACTGACTTACCAAAGTATCCTGATGTTTTTTGGTGCAGGTCTTACAACAGTTTGACTGTAATTTCTCATGGTTTTGATGTATATTTTTCTTTGAGAATCCTGAAAAGAAATTGACCAATATTTTGAACAAAGAATGTATAGAGAAAATGAAAAAACTGTGTCCAATAACTTTCGTTTTCGTTTCATACTGTAGTGGAAGTATTTTTAAAATTCGCGACATTCTCAGATGCTCTTCTGTACAGATCAAAATATGCAAGGGTAGATCCAACAAAATCACATGCAAGCTAGCTGGCATTGTCCTAGGTAACATACACACTGTCGGGTACTTGAAACGGTGATACGGTGCTTCCATCCAATATGGAGGAAGGTAAACAAGACGGTACGTGTCATTTTATTTTCTATGTATTTAGACAAATCCGTTTTATACAGTAAATAAGGAATATTTGCATGTAACCTAAAAAAAATTCACTATAAGATAGATAAGTTCACAATGTAAGTTATATTATATATATATATGATTGTTTTACAAAAAACTTTTGTAAATGAATGTACATGAAATTTGAACCGAGAGAAGTGGTAAATTTTTGAGTCAATCTCCGTACAAGAGACACTTATATTGAAGTAAATACTCTTGTGTATTACAGTACATGTATAAAATTATCTGTGCAATTTCAACAATTGTCTGTCAATTTGTTTTGTCGAAATTTGTCTATATTCTGTTTCGTCTCGATAACGGATCAGATGCAATGCAACGGCGCGTACTTTCCGTAACCGTTGCTAGGTGTCTGCACCGTCACAACATATCGTAGTTTGGTCACGAGCAAAATTTAGACGATTAAATAACCTTTCTTCAAACAATCGGTAATGTATTAACATTATCATGTTCACATCCTCAGGACATTCAGCCTTGTTCAATAACTTCTGTCGGTTCCAGAAAAGATTTCGGAAGCATCCATGATATGAAGAGGTTCATGAGCTGATAGAAAAATCCCGAGTAAAACAGAATGTTCTAGGAAAGTGCAGGGTATGGTGGCTGATTTATACCATGTCGTGTTTTCGCTCCGCTGGGCGCCAAACGAAAACACGAAAATACGACAAAGTGACGAAATGGCACAAATCAGCCACCATATAGTTTAAGCCCTATACAATTTAAATTACGAGATACCGCAGCAGGCAGGTATCAAGGACAGACCGGAAAATTATTTAAGTTCATACATCATCAGAAGCAATGACATCTAAGAAAAGCTGCCAGTTTATCTCCACTAGAAAAACACCTTAAATCCATGTACTTTCCTTCCATTTGTTTTCCGTTTTTTATGTTTATTTGTTTTACTTTCTGTCCTTTGCATTTTTGGAATCACGTTAAACATGCCTGGTGTTTTTGATTGAATGACATTTCTGAATTGTCGTGTTAACTTTTTTTATATTTTATTTCATTTATTTATGTATTAGAATTTATTGTTTTGTTTTTCCGCGAGTGCTCCTTGCAGGAAAAAAATGTCTTCAACTCCGAGTACAAACATTTGTGCATTGTTCTGAAGTGAAGACTGAAGATTCCGTATAACTTCTACCAACCCTGACCACATCGAATAAACAAACCTCCCATGCAGAGAGTCATGACAAGAACAAATTGAACGTCTTAATTGTCGCACTGTGTCGATTCGTAGCACTATGAAACAAGTTAAAAAGGTTTCCTGTGGGGATAACTTTTAATAATTATAAAGCGGGATAAGTTTCAATAATTTAAAAGATATTTCATTTTTAACTATTTTCAAAATTGTTTAAAAAAAGTTTTTTTCGAGAATATAGTATCAATAGAAGAACGTCTTTGGAGACCGGTGACCGTCGAAGACCGGAGACGAGAGAGGGCATTTTGGTATGTCATTCGTCTGTACCATCCAGACGTTTGAGATTTCTCTTGCAAACATATTGATGATACAGACTACAACACTATTTTTAATGTTTACATCCAATTCTTTTTTTTTTAATTGCACTTGAATATTCTTTCATATACCCATTTGAAAATACCATATAGCACGAAGTATAGATTTTATTATTTTATTTTAATTTTTTTACAACGTTGATGTACCTTTCAAGTACGATTTACAGATCACGTGCTCCTATATGTACCTAAAACAGGCCACATGCTCTTCCATGCCGCATACCAATACCCTGCGGGCTGGAGCTCGCAGGGAATGAGGGTTTATGAAAAAATCCTCCCAAAGCAGAAGCCTTTAATTATTATCGTTGTCTTTTTGGTTGATACCAATGTCACACCAAGGTGTGTCTTTGGAAGATACGCTGGGTTTTGCAGTATTCGCTCTCTTTCGCAGTGTCTGACATAAAGATATGCCGAAAAGACATAATTGATACATGAACGCTCTCTGATCTTGTCAACGTTGAAATGAGCTTTTCTATATAATATTTTATGTAATGTCGATGTCTCACAGCATCAAAATTATTAAGTTCAGAAATTGTGCATATTAAACATTGTTTTATCATATCCGAGATTCGTTAAAGCCGTCCTTTTGATTCTTTTTTCTTTTTCATATGTTCATTTGATTTTGTAGTTAACTACGTTCATTTAATACAAAGATTTGTTATAAAACAAAGTATACATTACCTTTGAAACCAGAAAAAAATTTCTAAAAAAAACCTTAAAGATTATAACTGAAAAAGTCCATATTTTTAATATATATTAAATTTGTTTTATTCTGAAACGTTTTTCATAGATTGTTTTCAATAATGTTTTTTAATTTGTGTCATACAGTTTGTTAGAACGTAAGTATATTCTGACCAGAGGGCGATACATTAATTATTGATATGTACGAATGTATTCTTTACGTAGATTATTAATTTACGTATGTTTAACCCTAGGGACATAAAAAAAGTTGGTATGCATATAACAATTACGTCTCTTATGTCTCACGAAGTGGCTATTTTTATAGCACCACAATTTTAGCCGCGTCATGACAAAACCAACGTAATTCGTTTGCGACCAGCATGGATCAAGACCAGCCTGCGCACCCGCGCAGTCTGATCAGGATCCATGCTGTTCGCTATCAGTTTCTCTACTTCTAATAGGGTTTGTAAGCGAACAGCAAGGATCCTGATCAGACTGCGCGGATGCGCATGCTGGTCTGGATCCATGCTGGTCGCCAACGCACTTTGTTGGTTTTGTCGTGACGCGGCTCATTTGTTTCTCTGGATTTTACGTATATCTACATTATCTTCATAACTCAGGTATTATCATACTACAGTCAAACCTGTCAATAAAGACCGTCCGTACAATGAGAGACCACACATTGCCTTTATTAGACAAATGGTCTTTATTTGGTGTGTAGTCTGTTCGTAATATTATCAGATGACGATTTGTCAAATAGTGATCTTTATTTACAGGAAGGTCTTTATTTGTAGGTGGTCTTTATGAGCGAACAAAAAAAATTGTATGATACGCTTTTATGAGAAACCTGATCTCACCATATTAGTGTAATGGAATAGCCAAGCTTTGAATTCGGAACAGTCCATTCAAAATTAAAAAGATTTCAACATAAATTAATTAAAAAGAGAGGTACCAGCTGTCAGAAAGTACAAGCTTGTTTGTCTTATCACTAATAGTAAAGGCTAATCACTTTTGTTCTAGTAAAATAACATTAAAGCAGTCATTAATGATTTATCTAAACTTTAGGAACATTAAATTATTTGATATCGAAACATGCACATAGACATAATAGCAGATGTCCTTTAAAGTAATTGCATTCCAATATGAGAAAAAGTACAGAGCAAAAAAAAATGTAACGCGTTATCTATTTAAAAAATCTTGAAAAAGAAAGTCCAACGAAAATATCAACTGAACAAAGTAATTTTAGATGAAATATTTGTTTATAACTTCAATTTATCAGCATTGATCACTGATAAACAATTGTCATATGTAACGCATATTTTAAAATGGCTTAGAGCAAAATGGCGAACTTCTGATTATTTGGATATAAATAAAAATCTAACATTCTGTCATAAACAACAAATTTCGATGCACCTTTATGACGTCTTTTGAAATTAAAATGTTTGATAAGGCGTATTTTTTTGTAAAAAATTGTATCGCAATCCTAAGGAGTTATTGAGAATTAATTATGGGTGTAGAATATTCCTCACACAGCATTACTTGATTTTAAAGTACATGGGTCCGGAAGCCAGATAAACATATACATTTTGTACTATTATTAAAGGTTCGCACAAACATAAGTACAACTTCGTTACTTTGACGTATCTTTTATTTAAAAAAAGCGATAGTCTGATAAAATTCTGTTAATGTGAAGGTCAAACATTGGACTTTCATTTTTATAGATTTATATCATATAAAACAATCCATCATTGTATCATTCAATGCACAGATTATGAGTAAGTAAGGTCTAAGTAAATATCACACTCGAGGGTCAAACGTTCGAGCTCCCTTTTTGGTGTCCGTCCTATATTTCCTTTACTTTTTTGAAGAATTTTCATGAAACTTGATTCATTGAGGCGACGTGTAGAACAGTTGAATACCATGGTGTTGAATTCAAACCATTTTACCAAGTTATAACTTGAGTGATACATGTGCAATAGAGAAGAGAACCCTAGAGTACTTAAAGAACGTCCAAAACAGCAGAATTGATTGTGTTTGTCCATGGACGGTAGCGTAAGGTACAAGCTACCGTCCACGCCGCCTATTACCGACTAAAGCAGCATTTAGTTAACCCCTTTGTCATGGAAGCGTTTGCAGTGAGGGTGATTTTCTAAAAAAACATTGTATATTTACTACTATTCTGAAGAGTGATCAGAGGTTATAATGCCTGCATAAAGCCAGATGTCAAAATAAATAAATAAAATAAAAAAATAAATAAACATTAAAAAAAAAGCTTATAAAAGCAGGCAACATATCCTAAGGGCGGTTATACATTAATCAAACGGGAATTATAAAAGTCGCCTTTATAAAACATGTGCATGTATAATGAGACCAGGAATAAACCGTCCTCTTAAATTGTTAATGGCAAGAAATCGTCTTTTGGGCAATATACATGTATATGCCAGTCCCAGGTTTCTAGGTCTTCTAGGGCTGCGCCATCTTTCGGCGAAGGGAATAGAAACACATTTAACTTTTTTCAATACACTTAAAACTATTTTCAATACACTTAGAACTGCACACTGTCGGCCGCACTCTACACACCTACACTATCTATATGGCCATTTCGTGTTTTATATGATATCTAAATTTAATCCACCAGTCAGAGAACGTAGATGGGAACCATAATACGACAGGGAACCAGATATATGAAATAAGCAAAGGCTATGAACGGGAAGTCGGTTGATATAATCATACATTTTTATCATACATTTTCCGTTTTAAAAGTGCCATGCGGTATATTATACACAACTTGCATTTTTTTTGGTTCCCAGTCCTATTATGGTACACATTGAAGTGCGCAGGAGACAAGTCTATGCATCCGTTTTTAATCAGAATTGCTCGGCTTTTATCCTTATCATGTAAGTCGAAAAGTTGCGATTGGTCTATTACCCATAACTTTTGAGTACTTCCTGCGAAAGTTTTCAAAACCAGCACTATCTAGCAGGTACTCGCCTTACCGTAAAGCTCGCAATGCGAGCAGACCCTTCGGACCAGCTCTTCGAGCTCGCCATTAGTTATCAGCTCCAGCTCCAGCTGCATTGATTGGTCGAAACTTCGACAATAAAAGAAAATTGGAAGACAAATTTCGGATTTTTCGTCTGACTCGGGCTAAATTCGCAGAACTGGATATGGTGATATATACAGTGGGACCCTGTGTCCTCTGGTATCGGTGAGTCCTTCGGGAATTCTGCCGAAGCTAAATCGAAAATCAAATTGTATGGTCCTTTGAAAAAATGTTCAAATTTACTAATAAGCGTGGTTCTTTTTACATAGATATTTGAGCTTCTTGATATTTGTAGTTGCTTAAGGAGAGCGGTGAACTAGTGGTTAATGTGTTTGCCTCTCAACCCAAGGATCATGTTTTCGAGCCCTAACCGGGTCACGACCATGTTTCTTCATGTGACACCAGTACTTGTTGGTTCCATGAAGCGGACTCGAAAGTGATTAATATAAGTTGCAAGAACTTGTTTCGCAAATAAATATGTTTAACCCAGTTGTGCTTAGAGAATGAGTATTAATGACTTTACTGTTCACCTACACATTTTGAGAGACTAACTATCACGTTCGAATCTTTGGAACGGGAACGCATATTTCCGTTCCTGTATCGGTTCAAGAAGTTAATATGTTACACATTTTCAGCAAAAATGTTTAGGTTGGTGCAATAAAAAGAAAGTTCATTTAGGATTTAGGGTTGACGAAGAAGTAGACAAAACGTCCACGTTAACTAAACAGTTCCAATCGGCATCACTTGAATACATGAACAAGTTGAATAGTTATACCCTTACAGCAGAAAATCTTCAGTGTTGCGCACACGAAAATGTTAGGTAGGTTTTTGAATTAATGAGGTTGCCGAAATCTGCGGAATGCCAAATCGGTGGATAAAATCGTTTCTCAATCGGCCGACTATGGGCAAATATTAAGTTAAATGAACACTGACACCTAATTAGCAGCCAAAATTCAGTCTGACGCAGCTGAAAATGTTCAGAATATCGAAAGTCCCGTCAACCCTGTTTACAGTCTTTGTGAATGCATGTATTTTCAGCTGCGACCAAGTGAACATTTTCGGTTTAAAGAGGTGTAACTATTCATGCCTTTCACCTTTCAAACATTTTTAATTGTAAATTTTCGATTGATTATCGCATAAAAAATGGCGACAAGCAACCAAACGTGAACGTCTTCAGTACCTCATCAGGCGTGGCATTGAATACAGCGTTAAGATATCGCCACTTAGGTCGAAGAACTCCTCAAGGTAATTTCATTGGCTTCGCTCACAATGATTTGATTGGCTTTGATCACCGTGACTTGATTGTCTTCGCTCACAGTGATTTGATTGGCTTTGTATTCGCTCACAGTGATTTATCTGGCTTCGCTCAAATGTGTAGCAGAGCAAAAAAGGACCACTGCGTCATGGAGTAGGACGTGAAGTGGTTGGATCCTTGATTTAAGCGAGTGACATGGTCGCAAACTTGACGAAATGGCGACCGAGTCATGAAAATGTATAACGCCCAACCGTATTCTGACCAGGTAAGTGAGTGTTATGAAAAATATTTTTTTAATATGTCTATCCATTAAGGCAAGGTTTATGACATATTCAGTTTTAGGTTTTAGCTTTCTAGGTTCTGATTTGACGAAGTTATTGAAGATATAAACTGGTCATGTGCATATCTCGCGAGTTAGCAAGTAACTATTCTGGTTGGGTTTTCTACTCATTTATTCAAATATATATTTATGTGGAAAAAACATATTTTGTCTTGTTTCACGAACTTCAAAACTTACAGATGGAAAAAGCCCAGAATAGTTGCTTGTCAATTCTCAAGTTATGAGTATACAAGACCAAAATATATCCTCAAAAATTAGGTCAAATGCTGAAACCTTAACATTTGTAAAGTTTGCAACTATTTTGCATGAACCAAGTGTGCAATCATTTCAATCCATACCCTTCACAGTTTCTTAGAAACTGGCAATTGTTTGTCCATGTAAGAACTATCTGTCATTCAGCTTGACAAACTGGCCAGAGACCTTCTATTTTCATTTAGAATAAAACGAAATAATTGATAATGATGTTGTAAATTTGATTCAAATTGCTTTGTACATTGTTGCTTAGATGAATCTTGAGGTATAAATCTACGTGACATGTATGTAAATAAACGAATAAATAAATAAATAAATACACTGTAAATATATTTTAAGGCTTCGATTGTTTCATAAATTTTGTCTAGTGTCCGTATTGTGCGCAAACCAAGGACAGGCAACCATGCATGTCTACTCATAGACACCATTCAGCTGTTAGATCCTGTAATCGGTGCAGATGCAAAGAGTTTGGTCAACCTGGGTGTTTTTTTTGTTCGTTTTGAGTAATGCATAGAGATCTTATCAAATTTCCCAATCTAAAATTAATTCTCCTTCTAAAATTGTAATTGCTATTTTCCTAAAACCATGGTCTTTCAAAAAAAAAACTATGTACAAGCATCCGCGCAGTCTGATCAGGATCCATGCTGTTCGCTTACAAACCCTATAGCAAGTAGAGAAACTGATAGCGAACAGCATGGATCCTGATCAGAAAACTTGACTTTGACTGTATGAAGCCTGCACTCATGACTTTGAAAACTTTGGAACACCTCGCCATTTACTAATCATCATCTCGGATTGAAAGTAGATCTACCAGGTTACCGTTAGATGTAAACGAAGATTGGGGACGTGATCTTTGCATAATGAGTACTGAATGTCTTTGTATTTGATCACACTCAAAAATATTCCATATATTTCAATGATATAGATTCTCACTAATGATCACAATTTTAATTGGTTTTATATCAATAATTATTTGGCGTTTACTCATTGAATAATTTATTTTTTTTATGAGTAAAAGTATGTTTAATTGTGTTGTTTAAATAAAAGAAACAAATTTTATTAGTTTTTAAAGATGTTTTTTATTTGATTTTTCGAATTAATAACACGTGAAAGGGTATACATGTAAAACATTTCCTCAAAATATTCTCCATATTAATTATATTTACGACATATCACTAAATAAACTAATTGTTTTACCATGACTAAATCGTAACAATCTCGGTGCTTGTTTGCAAAAAAAAAAGAGTCATTTGGAAGAAGAATGATTTTTTTTCTAACAGAAGTCAGGCTAGTCGGGAACGTAAGAATTCATGTCATTTATTTGTCGCAACAACAAACCGATGCAAACGTAGATTATTTTTCTCCTATAAAAATCACTTAGATAAGCATTGCTTGTTTAATTATTAAAAAACAACAATATTTTATACATAATGTTTGTCATAAAGCTCATGTGGCCAGCACATAATTTTGAATAGCTGAATTTTCTCATATTATGAAAAAGTATATGTCTAAATTAAGACAACATTTGACATAGTACAGTGTATATACATGTTTTTATTCCAGCAAATACATGGGACAAAGTAAACTATACCAGCAATAAGCCAATAACACGCCAATATTAACTGTAACTTGGTTTTATTAAACATTTTAATAATATATTAAAAAAGATACATTTTTTTTTACAAAAACAATAAATAAATAAAATAATATGATTTAATGTTATGAATTTCTTTGTCTATGACGGGCTCGAAGCTTTGCAATAAACGAAAGTTCATTAGTTGACATTAATTTACAATCGTTTTTATAAATGCTGAATTGGTCATTCCAATTTGTCTTTGCTATAACTATTCCGAGACTTTGATTGTTACTTGAACAAAACACGTTTAACCTTTTTAGTATCGTTTTCAAGTAGTTAACTTCCTTCCAAAAGTCTTCTTGCATTTTGTTAAGTTTTTCATCCAAAACGTTTGTGAAATAGTCGTAAATTTTAAAGTCTAAAAACGATGTTTTTCTAAATTTGGATTTTTCGTAAGCGCTTAGTACGATTGGCGTATGCTTGTGTTTGTTTTTTGTTACATATAATATTTCTTTCAATTCCCATCCGAGTAATCGTTTCATTAACACTAGAGATTCGTCGATTTTTTCCACGGATAATACTAATAAAAACTGAGAGTTTAGATGCTGTAAGTAGTTTTGAACTCCCTGGGTGTCAGTTGGCTTAAACTTATTCGGTAATCCGAAGTCCCTTGCCATCGCATTTCGGGTGTCCGAAAAAAAGCTGGGCTCGTATTTCTCCGGATATTTGACAAGGTTGTGAATGAAGCCTGCACGCGGGACTCTAGTTAAGTAGGGTTTATGCCACACGTCGCGATAATAGTAGGCGGCGCTTATCATTCTGTCGATTGGCTCCCGAACTATTGCGATTTTTACGGCATCTACCGGAAGTAGGCTGTCGAAAAACGATTTATGGTAAATTGTATGTATGGCAAATACATCATAATGGTTTGGTCGTTTAATTGGCATTTGATCCGCCTTTTTCTGGAGGTAATTACCCCTTTTGGGAAGTAAAATGTTTAAATTATTTTTCAGTCCAAATCTGAAGAAAATGTTCTGCATGGTTGTCGAACTTGCTTTGTGAACCTTTAAGAATGCTATATGAGTGATTTTTGGCTTTTTTCCTTCTCCTGTAGCTGTTTGATTAATCGTCAGAGAATTGTTTCCAGTACTGAAAGTTTGCGGGCTGTCTAAATTAAAAGAAGATTTATTGACGCTCATGAGAGCTTTCCTCGTGTCTTCAAAAATCTCGTGATCCTCGCGTGCAACTGCACGAGTTTTGAGTGGACGAATGTATTGCATTGAGATATGTTGACACATTCCTGACTCTCGTGTCCAATTTGTTGTAAAGAGCATGCCGACGCATAACACTATGGTGCTGAAAAATAATACAGTAATTTAATCTACGAATTTAGTTACAATGTACCAGTATGACGTTAACAGAAAGAAACATGACTGATCACATATGAACTTTACAGATGCATTCAAAAAATCTAGACTATTTCTTATATGACTTTATTATATAGACTATTTCTTATATGACTTATATAAAAAAAAACGTATTAAAATACTGAACTATTTACCGAACATAATAGAATTGAAAAATGTCCATGAATTGAGAACAAAGGTAAAAATAAAATAAAAACATGATATGTTACACAAAGAAATAACTGAAACAGCAAATTTCTTTTCAATTCTTTAATGTTTTGACAGAATAGAAAAGCATGGCACCAGAAGGGCGTAAAATGGAACAGCCTCAAACATTTGTCTTTAGAGCTGAAGTGAAGTTTTCGTTTAGATGCGCAAGATTCACCTTCATACATATCAATATCCAAATTCAGCGTTTAGTAGCCAGTGAAAACTGGTAAAATTGTTTCATATTTAACTTAGAAATCACTTACCAACAGATAATTTTGAAAAACGTATGAAAATTAGTCGACACCAACATTGTTATCTGTTAACTGAAAGAAAATAAGAAAAGGTCTAAAATATTACAGAATGAATATTAGCATTACCATACATTGATTAGACCATCCCGCATAGAGCACGAGACTTGTAATCTCGGCATTGTGGGTTCGATTCCCTGGCTGGCCGACTAAAATTACTTATCAGTCTTCCGCATGAGACTTTAAAACCGTGGTCCCTTGTATGAGTGCTTAAACACTTGGCATGCTAAAGAACCAGGAGAAACTTCTGGAATTGTCTATATCTGTATATTGCACTTTCCTCCAAAATCTAAAACGGCTAATACTAGTTTGGAGGACTCGCCCATATGGGCACCCGGAGGCGAGTATAAACACAAATGCACACACATTCAATAGCTTAAAAGCTACACAGACTGCACGGGTGTGCAGACTGGCCTGGGTCTAAACGGGTGGCAAAGGCTACATAACCAATAGTACATAATACTAAAATTCTTAACAGAGCAAACAAATTGATTTGAAAGTTTCTTTTAAATGATTCGCTATTCATAAATATAATTTATTCCGTTAATAAATAACTTTGTGATAATATAATATTTATTATTCACAAAATTTTATCCTGAGATAAGTTTGTTTCTTAGTAAATCAGCAATATTTTACATTTTGTTTTAGTACCAATTTTAAGAACCAATATTTATACACTGAAGTCAGAAATCCAACACATTAAAAACATTGTGAATGTGACACATTAAACACCGTACTTGAACATATTATAATACTTTGAACACCGTACTTTCCAACATATTTTATAAATAATTAACGATTGAATTAGAGCAAAGAAACAATAAACGAAAACGAAATATTTATTTAACAAATAGCATTAAAAATAAATAAATAAATAAATGAAAATGAAAGAAAATAAAAGTCCACTTACCCGCACATGAACTTGTTTTCGAGACGATTGCGCTTGGAGTTGTAACGTAAATTTATTTTTCCCTTCGAGATTTTAATCTTTTTGTCTGGGGGCACTTATTACGCATGTCAAAGAAATACCTTTGATTATTATTTTTTAAAATAAATTCAATTGACGGAATTAAATCATGTAACAATTGTTTACGAAAAGAAAAATTTAAGCAAAAACAACAACAACAACAACATTTGATAAATTATATTTTATATAGCAAAAAAAAATATGACCAGAAAATGACATGCACATGTATAACGACACTATTGGTAAATTATTCTATTGTTTTGATAGATTTCATTTTACGTCTATTTTTCTATTTTTGAAATAGTACATAGACAAATATTTATAATATATAAGGAGTAAAATGTATCTACATCATTGGTTAATGATAAGATTGGTTTGATATTCTATAATAATAATGACGCACGTGTATGTGGCGTTAGCCTGCGTTACGTCTATTTTTTTTTTAAATAATGCATTGTCATATTTAAAGGCCCAGTTATCCTCAAAATTTATATCACTGAGATATTTTTTGTGTGTCATGTTACAGTTTCTAAATAATTGCTTATATGCCATAAACCTTCTGTATTTTGCAAATAGTACTGTTATAGTGAAATAGTATTTTGTATGGATTATTGTATAAATTAAAACTACTTTGTTTACAATTTGCTTCCTTTATCCTCATTACTTAATTATATCACATCCGGTGTTATTTTCATAAAACATTAATTTTCCAGATGACCATTCAAGTCTGACATCTGACCAGTAAAGCTACAAAAGACGCCATATGACCTGAACATCAGCCTGTCTTAACAAGAAAAAATACTAATGGAAAATCTTAGGGTAGCATAAAACATATCCTTTTTAACATAATTATATTTTTGCTGCTTTTTGTGAAATCTGTTTCCTAATTAAGTCGATACGCAAAGTTATAAATTTGTATGCTTATGACGCCAGATTCTGTCTTCTGCGATGCCTTCGTCGTAATTTTTCAATAAAGGACAGTTCTGGAGTTTTCATCATAGCGCAGTCGGCACTGGTCACTTCAAAATGACCGTTAAATTTCGTTTCCTTAACAGATAACACTGGTGCCGCAGACTGAGTTACTTTAGAATGGCCACACAAAAAGCTAACTTCTTGAACTAACTTTTTAAAATACGTCACTTCCTGCCAAAAATCACTAGGCGCTTGTTTTAACTTTTTATCAAAAACTTTACTAAAATAATTGTACACATAGAAATCATACACATTTGTTTTTCTGAATTTTTCCTGCTCTTTACCATTGAGAACAACCGGTGGATGCTTATGCAAGTTAGTTTTAATGTATAGAATATCAGACACTGACCAATTGAGCAGACGACGTAGGTAAACTAATGATTCGTCAAATTTCTCCATTAGCAGAACGAAGAGAAACTGGGAATTAAGTTCTTCCAAATATGTCTTGATTTCAGTCTGATTCCAATGGCCGGAAAATCCAAAATCTCGCGCCATGGTATTCCGTGTCTTGGAAAACAGCAGCCGGTCATACTTTTCTGGAAAGTTCACTAAGTTGTGGATATAATTTGCTCGTGGGACTCTTCGTAAGTATGCGACATGGAAAACGTCACGATGATAATATGCCGCGCTTATCATTCTACTCAACGGTTCGCGTATAATTCCAATCTTCACGTGATTCGCCGGAAGTAAGCTGTCGAAAAACTTTTTGTTGTAAATTGTATGAAGAGCAAAAATGTCATAATGCTGACCCTTTCTTATTGGCAATTCCTCAGCCTTGCTCCAAAGCTGGTTCCCTTTTTTCGACAGAATAATATTTAAATCCTTTTTGATTCCAAACCTAAATAACATATTCTGAATAGTAGTCGAACCTGCTTTGTGTACTTTTAGAAATGCAATGTGTGTGACTGTACTCGAGTTTATACCTACTATGCTACGTGTTTCATTCAGAGATATCATTTTAGTTTCGTATGCTAAATTGTTTGCATTATTACCGTCTGCTGTGGCTTCTTCTTTGTCTGCCAATGGCGCCCTACTTTCCGGTTGCGCTTGCGCGTTTGTCAATGATAGAAGGTCTAGCTGTTGTATTGGAGTTTTGGGGTAAGAGGACATTGGCAAGCAGATGTCTCTTAAAGTTGTTTGTATTGTTCCAAACATGCTCTTATCTCGAATCAAAATGATAGATAGAACAAACAGAATGCATGCCCTGAAACGAAAATTATATTTATAATTGTCTTAATCATATCAAGTGAATGCAATTTCGTCTGTGTTTTGATATTCACCGAGTTTTGACGGAAACGGCCGAAATAGTATATAATTGTGTACGATTGTTTGACGATTTAAGTGCAACTGACGTATAATTTTGTTTAAAGTATGATTTGGGTCATGTAATTATTAGGGTTTTGATATCTTAAAAGAAAATATATAATTATATCTATTTATAATACTTGTAATCTTTACCAAGATGCAACTTTTATCACCGTCACTTTACTCATATTTGCAGCACTTTTAGCTGAAAATAAAGCAAGATATAGTGCATTATTATTTTTTTATTTTTTTTTAAAGCATACACACAGAATAAAACATGAGCTGTCCGAGGAGCAGCGCGCTTCACTTTTCTCAGGATCTAAGCAACATAGAAAAGGGAAGATACTTCTGATAAACTGTTTGGCGGTTATTTTTGCCTTGATAGCCAACAAGTATTTCAAATAAAAATAAATTAAAGGGGAGATAAGGGGAGATAATTTAGAAAAAATCCCACCATGTTTATCTGTCCGTGAACAATATCTTTGATAGTTTTTGAGAAATTAATCATACAAAAAAGATTAAAAAAAAGATTAATCAGGACAAAAAATCTATGTAAAAAAGGGGGCATAACTGCAAAATATAATTTTAGGATCATCTGCCATTTTGATATTGTATTGCACGATGATAGTGAACAAGTAAACCAAGTTTAAAGTGAATGGCTTTGGTAGTTCATAAGAAAATCGACCTTTACATTTTGCCTATATAAGGTTACAGTGTCTATGACCTTTTGACCTGAAAATCAGTGTGACAGGTAGAACCCACATATAAAGTCTCAATAATATATCTTTATTAGAATTAAAGTTAATGATCATCATCAATATCAGTAACGATATCATCATCATCATCATCATTATTATTATAATCATAATCAATGTGATCATCATCATCAACAATAACAACGTGATCTTAAAACGATTATCTCAATCATCATAATCATTACAATTATCATAATTATAATCCCCATCGTCCTGATCACCCATCATAATCAGTAACAGACCTATCATTATCAATATTCTATGTAAACTGTAAACAGTGTATGGTAAAAGCTGTATGCAGCTCTATCGGTGTACATTGAAACATGATTGTGTTCATGGTAAACTGAATACGGTGTTAACTGTATCCAGCGTAAACCGTATACAGTGTAACCTGTGTTCATGGTAAACTGTATACGTTGTTAACTGTATCCAGTGTAAACCGAATACAGTTTATACTGTGTCCAGGGTAAACTATATACGATGCAAACTATACCCAGTGTAAACCGTATACAGTGTAAACTGTGTCCAAGGTAAACTATGTACGGTGTTAACTGTTTCCAGCGTAAACCGTATACAGTGTAAACTGCGTCCAGGGTTAAATAAGTACGGTGTTAACCGTATACAGTGTAAACTGTATACGGTGTATACTATATCTAGAATGCATGTATAGTGCAAGTTTGCCCTGTGCCGTTTTATCAACGGTCGTACGACCGGCACCCGGCTGTATTCGGTGTAAGCTGTATACCCTGATAAATTTACACAATAATTAAACACCAATAAACGGATACCTAAGATAATATCAGAGTGTCATAGATTGTGACCACAGTTCAAAAAGTATGTCTATATATAGAATAATCGAAAAAGCTTACCAAATCACAATCCTTTAGAACTTTTCTGTAAAGTAATATAGATGAAAACATACGACATTACGGTTTCTATATTTATCCAAAGGCAAGTTTTAATATTGCCTGATTTTATCAATTCAATTTTGTATCAAAAACTTGAATCGAATATATAAAATCAATAAATACTAATTAAAAGACGTACTTTACCGAAAAGCTCGTTTCAATTTAGAAAAAAACAACTTTAATAATGGTATAAAATAGCAAAGGCAAATAAAAATAGATTTTAAAAAATCCGACAAACAAAATTATATATTCGTTTTTTTGTTTTTTTAATGTTGTTAATTTTAAAGTTTTATTAGCTGTAGAAAAGGAAAAGTAAGACACACAAACACACTACATAAATATCAAAGTAAGGTAGATCTAATTGCTAAAAATGTGGCATTTTAATCAAAACGCATTTACAACTTACATGCATTTGTAAAAATGTTTCGAATGTTCTAAAAACAAAGCTCAAATGGTCCAGAAGGAATAAAACTTATAAAATGTATTAGTGTTAAAATTTCTAATTATGACCGGATAAATCATTTACATAACCAGTACTTTGTTCACATACTCGTACATTAGAAATGGAACGGTCTGGGACTTACGTCATTTGAATTTAAGTCCTAAGAACTGCAAAGATAATTTAATACTATTATATAGGTAAGGAAAACCATTTATGTAATATGTGTACTGTAATCAGAGCGCTGTAGAAACTGAATATCATTTTTAGTTTGAGGATGTATAAATATATACAGAAAAGCAAATCATATGAGGTCTACGACAGCGTTACGCTTTAAATTATGTTTTATTTATTATACCAAAATTTTAAAAATATTGCCGATCTTTCATATTTGATTTCAGGTACCAGAATTTTCATTGAACCTTTCCAGATATTGTTAAAATAGGAAACGCATCGACAACTTTCAAATCACTTTCAATTTTTAAGTAAACTTGAGTAATTTGATTTAAGTTTAATTTAGTTGAATACTATTTTATTGTATGTGCTCATGCATATTAAAATATAGATATAAACATGAAAAGAAACAATAAACATATATGTATACAAATAGATTGGGCCACAAGTTATTACAACATCAGCAAACAGCCAATTCCTTAAACAAGTCACATTAACAGAAATGTAAACAAATTTACAGCATGTTTATATTTATGAATAATTATATATCTCACAAATACTTTGCATATCAGCCTATTTTAAGGTATTTATGAATGATACTGTATCATCATGAATACTCATTATACAGTCTATGATATCAGCTCACCCTGATCTTTCGTTTTCTGAGGAGACAAAATCATCACATACATGTACATTATTAATGTTTCACTTGTGTTATTCAAATGATTTAACAACAAAAATGTTCATACAGAAAAGAAATGAACAAAAACCTCAATACATAATAATACATTCAAATTTTCTTGTTTATTTTCAAGAAAAGTTCAAATGAATTGTTTCAATGTAAACAGTAATCTTGTTGCAAGACTGCACTTTATCTTATTTCAAATATATGTAATCAAGTGTCCCATTACACTTCCCTTCCACATCTTTATATCACAGCTTTCAGAACATATTCCAAAAATGACATCATCATTCACAGTTAATGTCAGGGTCATCTGGCATATGTAGGTCAAGGTCATTTCTTACAGAGAGGTCAAGGTCATCCATCAAACCCACTGTCCACATCTGGGTCATCTCCAGCTTCCTGTAAAACATGACAAATTCAGTGATATGAAAAATACAAATATAATTATATGCTACAAAAGTAAATTCACAAAGTACAACAAATCTTGAAGTCAACAGATGCAGAAGTCCAAAACCTCCTGAATTTCTTGAATGGGCTTTTGGGAACTGCCCATTATCAAATTTGGAAATATCAGTTTAAAGCATGGAGCTGAGTCAAACTATACTGATAAGTATGCCTACTAGGCCCTATATTGGTGGCAAAAGCTTATTACTTTTGATTTCAGCAGGGTAAGCATTAAGTAATGAACAAGAAAGACAAGGTGGCCTTGTATTGCTCACCAGAATTTTAAAAATCAAACAGCTAATAAAACGTGAAATCATCATCTGAAGTCAGTCGGAAAATCATGATTATTTATGAATGGTTTGTTTAAACATGTTTATTTTAGCTTGATTGCAGAACAAGTTCTTGCAACTTATATTAATCACTTTCGAGTCCACTTCCTGGAATTTAGAAGCAATGGTGTCATATGAAGAAACACGGTTGTGACCTGAGTAGGGCTTAAACCCATGATCCCTGGGTTGAGAGGCAGACACCTTAACCACTAGGCCACCACACCCCTTTGCGGGATTATTTGTTCAATCTTAGAAGAGGCAACTGTAGCTTCATTGTACTAAAGATTTTCAAATTTTCTTTTTCATACAATATATAGTTATATTTAGTTTTACAATTTTGCATGAATACATGAAACTTAAAATATGTTGGCTCAAAGTCAAATAAATGTCAATAATGTGAAGTCATATTTTACTTTCATTTTCCATTAAAGGACAACCTTTTCCCTTTAAAGGACAATACATACTTATTGTAACCTCTTAATGAAGGGCAACCTGTACGTTACAATCTGTAATTAAAGATCAATATGACCTTACCCTCATTTCTTATAGAAGGTAACCATGTACTTAACAATATATCAAATTAAAGATTAATATGACCTTACCCTCATTTCTTATAGAAGGTAACCTTGTACTTATTGTCATATCTAATTAAAAATTAATATGACCTTACCCTCATTTCTAAAGGAAAGGCACCCTGTACTTAATGTCATATGTAATTAAAGATTAATATGACCATACCCTCATTTCTAAAAGAACGTCACCCTGCACTTATTGTTATATCTAATTAAAGATTAATATGACCTTACCCTCATTTCTTATGGAAGGTCACTGGGTACCTTTCATCATATCTAATTAAAGATTAATATGACCTTACCCTCATTTCTTGTGGAAGGTCACCCTGCACTTATCGTCATATCTAATTAAAGACTAATATGACCTTGCCCTCATTTCTTATGAGAGGTCACCCTGTATTTATCGTCATATCTAATTAAAGATTAATATGATCTTACCCTCATTTCTAAGTACTTATCGTCATATCTAATTAAAGATTAATATGATCTTACCCTCATTTCTAAGTACTTATCGTCATATCTAATTAAAGATTAATATGACCTTACCCTCATTTCCCTTGGTTCCTGGTCCTCGCCATACTGTAGACACATATCAACTTGTAACAATACATCATTTATACTGTCCTCATCTGATTGGTCAAGAGGTAAAAACTTTACCAGGCTGTAATCATCTATCTACAAAATATTAAACAAACTTAAAAGTCTAAACACAACAAACTTTAAACAATAATTTATTAAATTACTTATATATGCATACTGTAACAGACTGTAGGATTTTCATCACCTTATCTTTTCTCAGAAAACTAATGGATTAACGGATATTTTTGTATATATTTGACACATTTTGGCTAATTCATGTGCATTGCGAGCTACTTTCATAGATGCCTAACTTTACTTTATTTGTTCAGTTAACGAAATCATATTTTTACAGTTAAAATATTTTCTAAATTCATGATTCCAGAGGAGACATGCTTTCAAGAAATATTACAAACCATTGATGCTATTGCTGCATTTAATTTCTTGAATTTTCTGCTGAATTTTTCATCTTCAAATTCTTCAAACAACAGTCCTTGCATTGTGGGCTCCAGGTACCTACATCATGTTAAACATAGATAAATAAACTGTTCCTATAATTTTTATATTCTTTAACCCTTACCACACTAAATATCTTAAACAAACTTGTCCAACTTTCTTTATGGACAAAACCATTCAACAAGTTTAGGGAAATTTTCAAAATAAACACTAACAGGATAGCAAACAGTGCACCATGGTTTTTTTAATTCTTACAGAAAAACTTGATTAGGGCTTGAACTCATGATCATTGGGTTAAGACGGACACCTTACCTACTAGGCCACCCCTACCTCCTTTCCATTGTCTTGGCAACCAGAGTTTAACATATGGATTGGAATTATCTCAACAATTAAAACAGGACTTTCTGCAATGGATGCAGGGTGAACTAAAGCCTAGAGGTTAGATAAGCAATCTTTAATGCTCCCTCTTGCACTTTAAGCTAGATTAGCTGAAAAATAGATTGGAAACTGAATGTTCCAAAGGTCATATAAGCTGCAAAAAACTTTGAATATTTTAAGGTATTTAAAGGTGACACTGCTAAATATAATTAGAAATTTTGTTGTAATAATGTTATGTAACAGTGTTGATATTCCCAGACTTACTTACCTTTCCAACTCCTTTTTATCTTTCTTACTAAGTAGATCTAACTTTGTCATCACATTTACATGTGGTGTTTCTAAGTTAACCATTGTAGACAATGCTGTAAGGGTGCCGGAGACAAATTTCGATGCTTCGATAAGAAACTGCGAGTCTATCAAGTAAACGCCACACAAATTAAAATTCCATGTTTGTAACACGTCGACTAACTGACGCATCACCGGTATATGTGTGTACAGCTCAATCTGTCCTGGTAAAAGATAAAAAAAATCACATTAAAAACAAGTCAATTGAAATACATTTTAAAAAATTTGTGTTACAGTAAACGATACTTAAGAATTTGCCTTTTCACATTTAACAAATTAAAGAAATCTGTAATTGACAGGGGGGAAAAACGCATTCAAATGTGGCCTATACTCATATTCATAGTCCTAATTGTAATACTCTTGACTTTACATGTGGTTTTGAAATCAACCTTTAAAGTAAGATGATGTTAATTTATAGTCGAGACTAAAGAAATTCTGATTTCTTAATAATAAAGCATCTGAGAGAGAAATTTCTCTATTCTTCAATCCAGAAGTAGCAACTGGCTCTTTACCAGGCATAGTGAAACAACCATTCGAAAAGACCTACATACATTTTTTTCTGAAGTTTTATCCCAAACACTGTTATTACTTTTATTGGTGTATCGGGGGATCAAACCTGGATTTGTAGTACCAAAGAGTTATCACTTACCAGGGCAGTCAAACAATATATAATCATCTTCTATGTCTTCTAACTGCTCTTTTAACCAATCAAAGTTTTGGGCAAGATATCTGTAAATATTTCAAATATTTTTCATATTTTCTTGTTGAAGCAAAAACATTATATGTAAAGGGATATTTTATTATCTTCATAAAAATGCACACAAATCTACTATTGACGTCCTATGTTCATAATCATTAATAAAAACAGCGGGTGATAAGACCTTTAAATCCTATGAATTTCCATGTATTGTTTAGTAAATAACATGTTAAATAGGGTGCCTATTGTCAACCTGAATAAAGGGAAAATTTTAAAATACTATAAAAAGATCCATTGAACAAATATAAAGCAGGATAAAAACACTATATAAAATATAAGAGAAAATTAACCCTTACTATTTCACATGTTTTATGTTTTAAGCAATAACTTATGTATATATAAACCTAATTACAAATGTGTTTAAATGAGCACATACAAATTTTCAAAAGATTTACATAAAATACAGTAAGAATTCAACTCATATATGAATGATATTGAAAGAATGATATTGACTAGTCAATAAACAGACAACTCACTCCATACAGAATACAAGTCCACCATTTGGACCAAACCTCAAAGACTCATCTTCCATTGCATCATCTACTTGAATCAACTCACGAACATCTGAAGTATGATTGTAAGTCTAGTGTAAGTCATAAAAGATAAATTTTGTGTTCAAATAGAAATATTGGTTATGCCATACATGGCATAAAATGTCCCGGTCCCGGATCTCTGGGATTGTCCGAGAAATCAGGTGACGTCACTGAGGTGTCCCAGTAAGTCAGTAATAAAAGAAATCTGAAACAATCTTATTGACAGTAAGAGCTCAGTCCTATAATTACATGTATCTTGACACAATAAAAGTCACACTGGCACTATAAAGGCCCCCATTTCTGGCTGAGGGGATGCCTTTCAGGATTGAGGCATTAGAATTGCAGCCACTGTTTATCTCTGTGTGATTGTAAGAGGCAAATGAATGGGCGTGAAATTAGATGACTCTTTCTATCTCTAAGCTCCAGCAGATAAGGTAGTTTTGACCCCTGGTATTGCTTTAAGTTTGTAACACCTAAGGTAATACCTAAAGTTAAATTTTGTGTTTCGGCACCATTTGACCCAAATTTTGTTGGTGTTCCAAACAACTAAACCAAACAATTGGTAAAGATCACCACTGGTGTAGGGACCCCTAAGGTGCCTCTCTGAGTAGAACCACTATCCTTTCATTACATTTGCAAAACAAAAATTATAGAGAAGTTAAACCAGAACACATTGCTCAACAGGTAATTATTACAGTTAATTTTGAAATCTGCTGGCAATGTTTAAATGTTGAAAATAATGTGAAAAATTTATAGATTGTTTACCAGCAAGCACCGGATAATCAAAATGTTCAGCAGCCGGGTCAAGGTTGACAACATGAACAGTCCGGCGTAGATTTTCACAGTGTCTAACCATATTACTACAGTATGTTGACTGAAAATGAGGAATTGCATAGAACCTTAAAGTATAACATTATAATAAAATAAATACATGTATAATATGATATATTAAACCTTGAACGGAATGAACCTCATTGGCCCAATCAGTGTTGAAATCACTGTTTTCTGTAGAATATGCTGGGTAACTATGTCAAACCAGAATGATTCCTCTTACATCTAGATCATTCAGGTGTGTTGTAAATTTAAGGCAGACTTCCCGAAATACGTCGGTCCGACGGACATGTCAGATAAATTTTGATCAGGTCCGACGATTTTTTATTCCTGATCGGTCCGAATGTCCGGCTTTTATCCAAGCCGCATGTATACAAAATGGCGTCGCTAAAGGTGCCAAACCTGGGAAAAAACGAAAATCTTCGTCAGAGGAGTGGGCAGAACAACAGTAAAAGGATGAAAAGAACAGACCTGAGACAAAATTTAATGAAATATGGAAGCAGGACCATGAATCGTTGGTGTATGACTGGGAGGAGATGAAAATGCGCTGTACAGAATGTGTTGATTTTTACGGCGATAAAATAAAAACAAAAAGTGTCTTAGAAATACAAACACAAGTTTATCTTTGATTTTGATCAATTTTATTCGGTCTGACAGATTTCGTTTTGGTCCGACAGATTTTCATGGTTTGTCAGACCTAATGTCTGACAGTTTTTTTCAACTGTCAGGAAGTCTGTTAAGGTCTACTTTTAAATTTTCATAGGCATTAATGCTAAGTTGTATGAATGGTTACAAGATTCTGTCTGTTCTGTTAATTTATTGTGAATATTTTAACTCATGTTTTTATAACCAGAGCTCAATAGAGAACATGGTATGTGAGGGTGCATGCATATTATAACTCCTATATAATTCAAATATAATAAGTAAAGAGAAGTAACACAATAAACAGTATGAAATATCATTTAAAGAGTTATCTTTTCTTGATACCGTAACATCTCACTTTGTTTGAAATCTGTAAGAAATCTCAGATAGCTCATTATAAGTTCATTTACATAGACTGCAATTAACTGATCATTTAGGAGGGGTGATCCAAAGGTGTTGTAGCTGCTTTAATAACAGCTAGTTTTTACACTAGTTACAGTCAATGAATTTAAGATTTTAAATTTACTGGCCCAAATTCCAGTTTTGTATTTATTCTGCTATATATTCAACTTAATTTTCTTAAAATTTACACTGGCCCGAACTAATTTTCACTGGCCATGGGCCACCAGGCAAGTGCTAAATTGGATGATTATAGTTATGAAGAACATTAATAAATGCAAAAAATAAAAGAAAAAAATTCTCTTGTAATTTTTAGATTTACTTAATCTTCTCGATATAAATATAGATCTTTGAATATATAATTTGCACAAATAAATTAAAAGAATTCTTGTACGTCTACTGAGGAAAGCATGCAAGTTACATGCTGTATCTGTATCCGAAACTTCTAGACGAATATTATACAAGTTACATAAATGACGTGTCTTGGCACTTCAAACAAAAAACAGATACCTTTCCACTGCCGGCTGGACCCATGACTATCTGTGCATATCGTGGCATTATTATTTATTAATGACAATGTTATTTGGTGCAAATATATTTAATTTTTGCTGTCATGTATTTCTCAATATTTGGAAAGGTCGCTTATGCCAAAATAAATTACTACTAAATTATAAATCTGTGAATGACTTGTCCACAGATTTACATGTATACATATAAATGTAGATCTGTCTGATGCATGCAGATGGGGCTTGGGTGTTTCATTTTACATTTCAATGTTATTATTTGTTTCTGCAGTGCTGCTAGTTAACATAAAATCAGGCATTCATTAAATTAAAAATGCTCACACCAGCTACATATATGCTCCATGAAATGATCATCCTTCAAGTGTTTATAAATGATATTATTATCATCCTATTATAATCATATTTGCAACTAGTGGCCAAACCAGTATTTGTAAAGTGTCAATGATATATCTTTAATCATATTTATGTAAAACAATTTTGAAAAGTCCTGCGTAAGAAGTGTCTTTCAGTGTAATATCATGTACGTAAAGTTAAGTTGCTAGAGTCTGACCATTGTAATAAAGTAAATAAACTATATTTAGCATTCAGTGCTCGTGTCAGCATCTGCCCATACAATAGATTTATGTTCAAGTTTTTTTTTAAATAAGAACTAGAAATGTGTCCATAGGACACGGGTGCCCCCACCGCGCCACTGTTCTGTCAATCTTTTTACTAAGTCAAGGGAAATAACTCTACAAATACTGGATAAATTCACAAGCGAAACCCCAGGTGCAAATCTGAATATGCTGAGCAACCTACCCATAAGGTTTAATGACTATGTCAAATCCTTTTTGAGTAACTTGCGACACAAGTTGAAAATTGCAAAAATTTTCTAAGTGAAGGGCAATAACTCTAAAAATACTAAATAAGTCCAGAAGAAAATACCTGGTGCATAACTGCACATGCTGATCAATATTCCTGTAAAGTTACATGACTCTAGATCAAATACTTTTTGAGTTACGTGCGACACATGTTGAAAATTGCAAAATTTTACTCAGTCAAGGGCAATAACTCTGAAAATACTAAAAATATCCACACGAAAATACCCAGGTGCACAACTACACATGCTGATCAACATTCCTGTAAAGTTACATGACTCTAGGTCAAATACTTTTTGAGTTACATGCGACACAAGTTGAAAATTGCAAAATTTTTCTAAGTCAAGGGCAATAACTCTTAAAATACTAAAAATATCCAGACGAAAATACCCAGGTGCACAACAACACATGCTGATCAACATTCCTGTAAAGTTTCATGACTCTAGGTCAAATACTTTTTGAGTTACGTGCGACACAAAAGTGAACGGACGGACGGACGGAAGGATATACGGACGGACGGACGGACAAGGGTAAATCTAAATGCCCGCCACTAACGTGGGGGCACAAAAAATCTTTTACACACTATCTAAATTTGCTTCATTCCATTTAAACCGGAAATGCGTTTAACTGCATGTTAACTTTATGCAGATGTGTTTGGAAAGTATCCAAATTTACAAATGGACATAAAGCTATGGTGATATTTTTTTCTGTGTGAAAGGTTTTTTTTTGTTAACTGTTTTTAACCAGCAAACCACTTCTTTTCCATGTTATATAACCAGCACGTGTTTCTTTTTATTTCACATGTTATAAGATGTAACCTATTCACATCAAGCATATGTGCATCAGGCGATGATCAATATCGCCTTGTTTTCATTTAACGGGTCCTAAAAATCGTATTAGTTGCATGTTGTATCCCATCTTGCCTCTTTATAATTTTCCTTATCCAAAAAACAAAACAAAAACTTCATATCAAATCCATCTTGCTCTCTATCGATCTATTCTCAATTACATTTTCAGAGTCCCAAAGGTTCCATATTAAATCCATTTTGTACTTGCAATACATTGTAACTCTATATATTCAATATCATACATTGATGTTTTTGAGTGTTTTCTTTAATTAATTATTATGTGTTTCCTCCTTTAAATTTGCATAGCAAAATAAAGAGTTTATTAAACAACTCAGAGTAGTAAGGATTTGATATGACTCACTTGGACTATGAAAATGAAAACAAGGCTTAACAGAGCGAAAATTTAGTGATTTGATATTGATTGAATAGCAATTCTAGATGACTAGTTTATAACACATTGTACAGCAGTATGATACCGATTCTATTGGACTCGTACAAACTGCAAAATTTATATCGGAATCAGCTAGCGCATTTTCCAGTATAGTTTACCCAGCAGCTATAGTGTACTTGTTCACTAGAACTCAGTATTTGAGATAAATTAAAGTTTACCGGAGGTTCACTTTAAAATAATTTCTTGAACTCATTAAATAGATATAACATATATGTGTAGGATCTCATTTGAGATAATATGTATCCGTAACGTTAACAAAAATGCCATATTACTCAATTATGTGATGTGAGGGTCTCAGTGCACGAGAGAGTTGCCAATAGTACCGTAAAAACGGGAAACAGAGAATAGCGCTTTAAGAGTCACGTGACAAACACGGAAGTGAAAGTACCACTAAAAAGGAAAAATGCCTGTAAGTTTTCTCATCTAAATTTGAAGTCATTACAAATAATATAACCAGAATTACCATGGAATATTTGTATTGTTTTGCCAAACGTTTTATTTTTCGTCGATACGACTGTAATAAGCAGATTTATAGAAAATATAAAGATCAATTCAACGGATATCTGATCTAATGCATTCAAACGTTCCCATATCATGCATATCTCCTGGTGAAACTCTTGAAGTATAGTTAGTTAATTCTTGAATAAGAAGCATATTATATATGTAAATTATGCAGTGACCAATCATAATGACTAATGTACAGTCTTTGATCATAGTGATTGTGTGCCCCACCCCCTAAAGGAACTGAATCATTGTCATCTCAGCACTAAAACCAAAGATATAAATATAATGATGATAATGTGTAATGTTTAATGTAAAGCCACACAAAATGGTAACTTTGTTATCAAAATTTGAGACATTGGAGCATACCAAGGGCTCACAATTGACACAGGTCAGGTAATGAGGTCAGGTGTCTGAGTTTTGACTTGCAAAACAGGAAATGCACACATTCGATGCGTGATAAAATCATCGCAAGAGTTGGAATTTTAAGCTTTGTATTAATTTTTACCTTCAAACCGCAACTAGTCACATATTTTCAATTCTCACGAACTAAATAATAAAAATGCCAATAGGCAGTTTTAACTTGTGTATAAAGTGCTTTATACTCAGCAGACTTACCCAGAGCAGTTTGACATTGTTTTAAAAAAGCCACATAGAACTCCACAGAACTGATAAGAATAACTCACTGGTGCGTCAATTTAACCTTGAAAATCCCCTGAAAATGACTTCCCCTACCTGCAGTGGTTGTGTGACATGATAACAATCAGTGAAAAAAATTAGCAATCATTTTACTTATTTGATGCAGAGATGTAGATCTATATTTCTACTTGATGTATTAAAGATTATTTATTTATGCACAAGAGATTCAACTCTCCAGCTATGCAAAAATACAGCAGAAAATTGAATTTTGAAAGGTTAAATTTTAAATAACCAAAAGGGGCGTCCATGGTCAAGTGGTTAAGGTCGTTAACTTCTAACCACTTGCCCCTCATCTCTGTGGGTTCAAATCCTGACAGGGACTTTGGAATCTCTCATGTGAGGAAGCTATCCAGCTAGCTTACCATTACAGAACACTGGTGGTTCTACTCAGGTGCCCGTTTGTGCCTAAAATAATGCACAGTCTTCCTCCATCAGTTGGAACATCGCCACATGACCTATACTGTGTTGGTGTGACGTAAAACCCAATAAAGCAAACAAGTAACCAAAATGAATAATGTTGAAGTTTTTAGTAGAATCATTATTATATTATACATTAATTATATATTGGATAGAGAAACAATGTAGAACATAAAAATGTTCCGTACTTTAATATAACATTAATATTAAAGCAAGGAACATTATTCTATAAAATTTTAGTTCTTTTACATGAACATTTTATTTTTACAGGCCTACCATTCCAAATTTACAGATGCACCTAAACATATTGGGAACATGGCTATGTTGCCATTGAGGACATCATATAAAGGGCCAGCACCAAAAGACAGTAGGTTTTCTTTACATTTCCAGGTTGTTTTTTATCTGACCAATTTTGATGACTGATATTGGGTCATGTTCCCAATGCCTAAAAGTATGGTTATGTCCCCAATTTCAAGGAGGAAATAACCAATTTAAGCCATTACTGCATGAGTATTTCGTGAAAAATGGCTGTTTTCATTGAAAAGCCTCCTGTTACAAGTTCAGATTGCTATGAAACTATAAAAGATGCTTCAATATTCATCAAACTTGGCACAAATGTTGACTGCACCATATCCTTTGTAATGGCATGCTCAATCTTGCATTTCCTATTACCATGGCAACAAGGGACATCTCAAATTTGCCAAAAATCATTATTTTGAGTTGTTTTTTTCCATTCAAACTGATTTCAAAGTGCCGTAGGGAAGCAAAGGCTTTTCAGCGTTGGTTACATGTTACCTTTTGATCGTCCTGAGGCCAATTTTAGCCTCTCACAGGTCCAAAATCTTCTTGGCGATGAAGGAGCGAAGGGGGCTGCCGCCCCCCTTCAAACCCCTTAACAGAAGGGGGCACGTCTCCCTCTAGCACCCTATGATGTGAAGTATAAAAGCAGTTTAATTTACCAAATATTTGAATTCTTTGTCATTTTTTGATGCATACAATATGTTGCCAGTTTCTCCCAATTTGTTTACAAGTTACAACATTGTAAAAATTCCCAATTCTAGGGCAGGGTCATGTTCCCAAAGTGCTGAAGAAGAAAAAAAAACCACCTGATTTCTTTAAAATAAATATTCACTATATTACTGGCAAAATTTAATCTGCTGGAATGTTTATATTTATTTGCAGCTCACTTCTGTGAGTTTTAGTTCCAACATGGATCGTTTTTGCTATCCAGCTAACTTAAGAACCCTGAATGATTCTTTACTCACTGTAAAATGTTCAGTAGCCTGGGATGGAATTAAAAGAAGTAGACCTATCAAATGCCTGAAATAGTGCTGCACAGAGGGGTCTTAAATATGAGATTTTCTTCCAGCAACTGCAATAAATCTGGAAAGTTGACACTATATAGCTCAAAACTCAATTAAAAAATGATTTATTAAATTAATAATAAATGCATTTCACAGTGAGCTGCAGATAATTAACACCTACCAAATAATAAAATATTTTACATCATGAATTTAAAAGTTCCTACATGTTGAGCTTTCTGAACATTTTGTTTATTTCTTGTGTTCAAATATTTCAGCGACAGATTTTGACATCATTGACGAGGCTATTTATTATTTCAAGGCAAACATTTTCTTCAGGACATATGAAATTAAGGTATGTTAACTTATTAATGTACATTGTCATGGTATTATTGTCTTATTGCTAAAAATACTGTGTAACTTTATGAAATAATATGTTTTATATAGCAATTACTTTTGATATCGACCATTTGACTATTTACTATGGTTATTTGTTATGATATATAGTTACTGTATACTTGTGGGCATACTGCCCAGATGTATTCTGAAATAGTCTTAAAAATTCTTAAAACTTGATATTTCTTTATTTCCTTATCATAATACAGGTACATGTTTATAAAAGAAATTCTATCACATCAGATTGTTACAATATGAAAAAAGTTTTGTATTATTACAAATGCTCAAACACAAGAAAAAAATAAATATAAACCTTCAGAATTCTTTTAAATAGTTTATGGAGTTTTGGGAATTGTAAGATGAGAATTTAAAGTTAGTTTAATAGCCAAATAATACAGAGGTTGGTCGGACAAAATGAAGGCCTGTTTCTGTGCTTGTGGCAATGGTATCACGATCAGTTCTGACAAGTAAAGAGAAAAGATGTAATACTTTCACCCTCCTAAAAAAAATAATGAAAAAATAAATAACTAGATATTATAAGCCAAGGATTGTTAAATGATAAATGTGTTTTCAATATTTCAGAGTGAAGCTGACAGAACTCTTATTTACATTACATTATATGTTAGTGAATGTTTGAAGAAATTACAAAAGGTCAGTATATAAAATATTTATTAAAACTGTATACATATATCATACATAACTTCCTAGACTATATTCCCAGGGAAAAAAATTCAACAGCCTGTAATGGATATTCCTCAGAAACTGAAATTCCAACATTAAGCCTAAAAAATAATATTACTTTAATTTTGCAACACCCTTTTTTATTTATTGGTGACCTGTTATAGTTTCCAAAATGGTACTACTTTACAAAATAGCTGAACTAATGTTTGCATTTTGGAAATACACAATGTCTAATTATACTTGAAGCATTTTGTGTGGAAGTCAAATTACTACTTTGTTAACATTTTGGCTACTTTTATGAACTCAGCACAACTTTTTTCAAGTGAAAATCATTAAACATGCTTTAAACTCTTTATTAAAATAATTTGAAACAGTCACATGTTTGCTCTTTATAAAGAAGAAAAAAAACACTTGTTTTTAGGTCAATGCTTTTTAATCAAGGAAAATAAAATTAAAAGAAACTCAATATGTTTAATATTTGATTACTTATCAGTGATTTTCTTCCTTGTATATTTTTTAGGTTGATGCTTTTAATTACAGAAACTAAAATATAAAGAAACTTCATTATGTTTAATGTTTGATTACTTGTTAATGAATTAGTGATTATCTCCCTTGTTTATTAATTCTTGTATAAAAACAGGAAGTGTCATAAGATGATTTTTCGTGTCTAACATCTAACTTTCTTTACTTTAGTGTGGCTCAAAGAATGACGGTCAGAAGGAGATGTACACGTTAGGAATAACAAATTTTCCGATCCCTGGTGAAGGAAAGTTTCCTCTTAATGCGATGTTTACAAAACCAGCCAACCGGTCCGAAGAAGGTAAGTTTGGTCTAATCTAACCTTAAACAGGCAATTCCAGTCGTAGACAATATAATATTCATCTCAAAATGTCACCAAAACATATTTTCCATATTTTCACTTGTGTTTTGCCTGATTACTTTCTTCTAAATTCAGCCAATACACAAAATTTAAGGGGAAGACTTTCAAATTGTAAATGCTAATAAAGGGGAAAATGTACATAACAATAAGAAAATTCAAGCTTTTTTTCTTTAAATCCAAGATTTGTTTTCATCTCATGGTATGGAAATTAACATATTTCACTCATGGCTACCGCCACTCGTGAAATATTTATTTTCATACCACTCTCATCTCTGTGAAAATAAATCCTGTATTTATACAAAAAGCTGGAATTATCCTAGATGTGTATTAACCTGGCAGTAACAGATTCTACACATGCAAACAGTGCAGGCCAAGATAAGCTGGCACATCCATGCTGTCCGATTATTATTTGCAATGTTCACTATTCAATCAGTAAATATTTTGAAATTTTCTCTAGAAATGAAAAAAAGGTTTTGTCGAAATTAAAAGACAGGCAAGTTCATTTAAGATAGGTAATAAGAATGATTCTGTAGGCTCAGTAGAGGATAAGTCTTTGCTAGGATTTAAAATATCTTATATGAACTCATTGAATTGTGATATTATATAGGCTTATATATACAACAAGTCTAGGAAATAGGTATATAATAATTGAGTCTTCATTAACTGTTGAATATATGGTAAATATTCTCTTACGGTTGAATGTGCTTGTTTGTGCATAATGTCAGTTAGCAATTCACAGTGAGTGGTTTATTTTTTTCAGGATTAACCAACATACAAAATATTTGTTGACTGATGATTTTGTTGCTTATACTAAGTGTAAATTAATTCACTTTTTTTTTTAATCATAGATACAATGAGAGCATACCTTCAGCAAATAAGACAGGAGACCGGACTTAGAATGTGTGAAAAAGTGTTCGACCCAGCAAATGATAAGCCTTCCAAGGTAACAATTTTATACTGAAAATTCACAATTTTTTTACCAGGATTTTAAAAGTTGTGAAAACTGAGAACCATTTAATGTGAGCAAGTTAATTGGAGAGATGTTGAACATATATTGTAAAGTTCTGTTGATGTGTTAAGCATTTTGAAAAAGGTATCTTTAGTTGTCACACTATCTTAAGCTTTATTTTCAGCTGGATTTTTTCGAGACTATTGAGGGCTTTGTATTGTCTAATGATCATAGCATTGGGGGTCACACTTTAGTTTTTTGTCTGCAAAGCTAATGAAGAGAATGGATTGAAACTTAGCCATTTGTTCTCTGTAGTTATCTCATACATCATGGGCATAGGTCCCATAACTCTGAGTTGCATTTTTACATAGTTATGCCCCATTTTTACTGTCAAGCGCTGAGAATAGTAGAGTGCGCTGTTTAAATGATAGCTCCTGCTAAGTAGTTGAGATAAAAAATCAGCTCATTAGCCAGTTTATTCACTAAAGTATTATAGTATTATTGGAAGCCATCCAGCTAGCTTACACACAGGGTTATTTTTGGGGGGTGGGGGTTACATCACACCAACACAGTATAGGTCATATGGCAACTTTCCAGCTTTACTACTGGAGCAATACCTCTCAGGTGCCCCTCGCCACATTATTTCAGGCAAAAATAGGAACCTGAGTAGATCCACGGACATCTTCACATGAAAAAATCAAAAGTCTCTGTCACGATTCGAACCTACAGTGGTGAGGGGCAAGTGGTTTGAAGTCAATGACATTAACCATTTGGCCACAGATACAAGGATAAATATATTCTCTAATTTTTTTCAGGTTTGTATACAAAGTCAAGATATTTATGTATAAAAAAGCGTTATTTATTATTTCAGTGGTGGCTTTGTTTTGCAAAGAGGAAGTTTATGGATAAAAGTTTATCTGCACCAGGACAATAAGGACACTAAGACTTAGGTTACAAACAATTACCATGCTTTCATCTTGTATAAAGACATGTATAAAACTCTCTTATCATCAAACATCAAATAGAGTGACATAGGAGATATATACTTAAATAACTTCTAGCTTAGGCAAGTGTTATAACCAAATGAAATTGTGTTCAAACAACATTGTTAACAGGACACTAATTATGAAAAGCACAAAATGCTTAAATTTGAAGAAAAAAAGTTTGCATCTTTTTGTTATTAGCATTATTTCTTTTCATCCAAGTGATTAGAATCATTAGACTGACAATAAACCAAAACATTTTAGATATTATTTTGTATGCAATAAATAATTTACTGTTCTAAAGTTTGCTTCTTCAGTACTATTACTTTGAATATTTACTAATATTTCTGTTATCACAGTATGTATTGATATTTGTGATTGGCTGTCTTATTGTACTTACCCATGATTCTAATTATGTAATGTTAATTCTGATTGGCTATCTATTAAGATTTACCCATAATTTTATGTATTTTTCAATGTGATTGGCTATCTCCATCATTCTTGTTGAGTTTGTATGTGTTTATTATGACCAAATTATGAGATATTAGCAAAGTATCCATGTAATAATGGTTACTTTACGATATATTTGAACAATATTTTCACATTTTTATTCAGTGAACTATATAAATGTAACAATGCATGTGTTTTATGTACTTAACTTGTTACTGTAAAATAAACATGTGTAATATTTATTCCTTGGTCTTTTATCTTCCTTACTGTCGTATTACAGAAAAATATAGATTGAAAGTTAATTCATTCAAGCAATTAAATTAAAATAAGTGAAATGTATACACTTTTTATATCTAACATATCAGTTAAGTAGTTAAGCAAAAGCTTTGTTTTGACATATACATTTTACCAAAACTCAGATAGTGTTCACATGGCCTTGATATTCAAGGTCAAATAAGGTCATGGTCAAATAAGAATAATTCAACATGTTGGTTTTGTCATTTATGTGTTCTTTTGTCCAAGTATGAATCAAATCCGTAAATAATGACAAAGTTATGACAATTTAAGCAAATTTGAATAATTTGAACTTGATGGTCAATGTCAAAAAAGGTCATGGTCATAAATACATGTAAATATATAGTAAAATCTTAAAAAAATTCTTTTACAAAACCGGAAAAGTTTGAGCTTAGATATTTTGCATGAATCATCTTCTAGTGAGTGTCTACCAAGTTTGTTCAAATAAAAGCCCAGGGGTCAAAATTGCAACATGCTAGTTTGGGTTACCTCCCTTACACTATTGCTATTTCATCTTCTTACACAGTGAACCCCCATTTGCTTGGAAGCCCCAGATTACATACTGGTCTGTACAGAATTTTGATGAATTTGATTATGGGTTTTTAGCTCACCTGACAACAAAGTGGTCAAGGTGAGGTATAGTGATGGGGCTATGTCCGGCGTAGATTGTCATCGACAATTGGGTTGTTAACAGTATAGCAGTCACAGTTTTGATTGGATCATTGTCAAACTTTGTCAGAATGTTTGTCTCAATGAAATACAAATCGAGTTCGAAGATGGGTTATCTCGAGTCAAAGACTAGGTCACAGGAGCTAAAAATAGAAAAAGCTGGTTAACGCTCTAATGGCTGCAGTTTTGATCCAAATATTCTGGAAATTTGTCAGGAAGTTTGTTTTAATGATTTCTAGGTCAAGTTCGAAGATGGGTTATCTCCCCTCAAAACTAGGTCACAGGAGCTAAAAATAGAAAAAGCTTGTTAGCACTCTAGTGGCTGCAGTTTTGATCCAAATATTCTAGAAATTTGTGAGGAAGGTTGTTTTGATGATTTCTAGGTCAAGTTCGAAGATGGGTCATCTCCGGTCAAAAACTAGGTCACAGAAGCTAAAAATAGAAAAATCTTTTTAACACTAGTGGCTGCAGTTTTGATCCAAATATTCTTGAAATTTGTCAGGAAGGTTGTTTTGATGATTTCTAGGTCGAGTTTGAATATGGGTCGTCTCTAGTCAAAAATTAGGTCACATTTTGTCAGGGGAGCGATCCAGGGCCATCTGACATGGCCCTCTTGTTTTTAGGAGTTTCCAAGTATAGCTTTTCGCAAATGTTTTATATCCAGGGAAATATCCATCTCGTAGTTCTGTTTTGAAAACAAATGCCTATATAGTCTATAAGGAAATGGTTCACATGAAGACATGTACATTTAATGTACACGTTACTTTTTCTAAAGGAAACAACACAATTTAAGCACGATATCGATGTATACATACATGTAACCATGAGGGTCTTTCAAAATTTAATTGCAAGACTCTTTTCCAGTATTATAGACTAGTCTGAAAGTTGAGCAATGTAGATCTATATTTTAACATTTTTTTTATAAAAAAAATATGATTTTAGTTAATTAAGATCTACTTAAAGCTAATTAAGTAATGTGCATGACATGGACTGCGATACGTTAAATCTATTTTCAAAATGACAACTTTTGAACAGTCATAATTTTATAATTTTGGAATCTGTCGGCTGGAAACATTGTTTGTCCGGGGTAATATGGCAAAGCGAGCAGGGACAGTTACAACATATGTGAAGTGACAGAAATCAAGACTCCTTATCCAACGTCTTACAAGTAACATTACGAACTTAATTGAATCAAACTTCTTTAGAACAGATTGAATGATCAAGGTAAAGTAAGTCTATCACAAATAAATGTATCATAATTCAAAATGTATTTACGGTAAATTCATAAATTCTAGAGACTTTTGAGCGTTATAACATAGTAAAGGGACATTTTCGTGAACATCGTGCAACACTTAAAAACTGTCTATTTTCTGTGCTATCTCTTGGCCCATTTATTTCCATTTTAATTAATTTTGCATTGTTTTGGCATGTATATTGACATTGCCTTCGTAAGTTTTTCATTTTATGTAAAATTTGGACAGAATTACCATATGATAAAGGGTTTAAATAAAATAAACAGTGGATTTTAATCATAAATATTCAAATTTTGTTGCTTAAAATGCCAAGAAAATAGCCCAGCTTAACTAAAAATCTGTTAACATGGTGGTACAATGGTTTTTCATGAGAAGTTAAACTAAAGCGAATTATCATTGAATGAACTATTTTACCTTCCGATACATATTTATTTCCAAAACAATGTTTTTGTAACAAAGAGAAAACAAAAGTTTGTCTGCCGCGGAATTTTGAATACTCGTTACTGATTGATCAACGTGATACTTGTCGCTGATTGGTCGGGCTACCCCCTAGATACCATATATAAGGAGTCTTGTTGTTAGGCTGGCACGTTCAGATTCATACATAAATCTGTTGAGACAAGTTGAAAAAAATGCGCTCTCACAAAGAAGCAAAATCTTCATATCATTCGTAAGTGTTTTGATATATCAAAGGCTTCAATTGATACATGAATATAACATTTTTAAATTAGTATATCTCTTTTATGATATTTTAAGCTAAATTCTATGAATTTAATCATTTTCGTGATGAGTTTTATGCTGTAGCTAAATGAAAGTGGGCGGGGTAAGGTTAGTTTGACGACTTAGTTCGTAATCAAAATTCAACTCATTTCTAGACCATAGCTCTTAAAAATATTATCACACTTGTTCTACACGTGAATGTGTAAATTAATTTAGTGTAGAAATTTATTTTAAATTTTAAAAAATGCCGCCAAACGAACTTCACTTTCACTTTGACACGTCGATTGTTGACATTCCTTGAGAGAAGTCCATGTCATTAAACAGGGTAGATAAATACTTAATTCAAACTTTCACAATTCATTCGGTCAAACAAAATATTTTATCCCCATTTATTGAAAGAAACATATTATTACAAATTTAAGTGGAGAAGATCAGAATCATTTTCACTTTCGTTTTGCATAGCAACCGACTATTGCTATATATAGATTAGGGGATTCCCAGATAATTATAACAAATAACCTTCAATATTAAGTCTTGGATATAGTAATTAATCTAAAGATTTGTATATCATAAGTATTATTTATATTTTCTTGACACGTTGGTATGCTACATGTAATAGTTCTTAGCCCATTTTAGAGGGACTATTTACTTTACATCCGCTATTGTCCGTGAAAGCTATGTTTTGATTGGTTAAAAGACAATAGATCCCATGCGCAGAATCCACTCCCTAGTAACGAGTAATGGCCGCCATAACAATTCAATTTCGCATGTATATGATACATCATTTTCAATTAAATAGCAGTTTTTGCGCGACATTAATAAACTTAAGACTATTTGTTATAAAGTCAGGATCCCAAAGTCGTATTTTTTGTCTGATTCTTGTAAAAAAACTGAAATTTCTGTCTCAATAATAGGAGAAAGGAAGCATCATCATGTAAGCAATCCGGTCAACTCGTCCCCTAGTCAACTCGTCCTCTGGTCAACTCGTCACCTTTTTGGTCAACTCGTCCCCTACTTTTGGTCAACTCGTCCTCAAAGAGTCAACTCGTCCCTAATATGGTCAACTCGTCCCCTACGTTCGATCTATTCGTCACTATTATGTTGTAAATCAATGTCTTTAAATAGTACTTTTTATGTAAAATTTATAATGAATTTGATTGATATCGAAATATTAATAAAATAACGTCTTTTTTACGTTAAATTTTAATGATCTTTATCTAACCCACAGGCATAGCTTTGATGTAAAATTACAAAGACAGGTAAGTTTGCAAACATTCAATTAATGTTTAATTAATCGGAGTTTTAATGATAATTAAAACTAAAATTAGGTCCAACTCTTTGATTTTTACCTCCTCCCTGAATGGATTAAAGACTGACGACAGATTAACAGAAATTGGAAGTGCTAAAAACTTTATGTCGGTGCGTATTGATCTCATTATAGAAGGATCGTGTCAATTAAAAACATGATAATTGTTTGTTGTGAAATTGTCAATTGTTTCTGATTTTTTTAAAATTGAATTTCATTGTAATATTATGGTCCATTATCATAGGAGTTGTATAAACATACATGCCTTTTGAAAGAGTTAGTATTTTTTTTTCATTATTATTTTTTAAATAAAAAATCCGTACAATGATATTTGCCGTGGATATTAACTAATTGAAAACATAAAGTAATTACTAAATATTCAATTGCCATCTAATAATAAGTAAAGATTAATATTAAATTTCCATAAATAAATCTTTAAATTGATCTCAAAGAGGAGCTGTATAAAACCGAGTTCCAGAATTTCTTGTATAATACAAGTCAACATATTGAATGTATTAATTGTATTTAATTCAACATTTTCACATATTTGACCATACACCATCAAAAACAAAGTCGACATTTGGAAAATAAAATTTTATAACAACCTTTGGCACGATTTTCACGCGATTTGTATAATTTCTAATTAAAGACACGCGTTCTTTTAATATGTATATACGTATCCAACCACAGAGGCAAATGTGTCTTTAATCCGGTTATCAAATTACTATGTGTTTACTTTAATAACCAAAGGCACGTGTCATGATATATTTAATTAACAACAAAAAAACCCTCCAAATATTCCCATACAAAAAGCGTCAAAATATGTCAAATTCAGTAATTTTATAATATATTATTTTAACAGTCTATGATAATTTATTGGGGGGGGGGACGAGTTGGGGACGAGTTGACCAGGGGACGAGTTGTCCAAGGGACGAGTTGACCAAAAAGGTGACGAGTTGACCAGAGGACGAGTTGACCAGGGGACGAGTTGACTCTGAATCATCATGTAATGGTTGCCTGTCTTTTACTTTTGATTTTAGTTAATTTTTTTTACCAGATCTGATGACAACTTTTAAGTTGAAAGATGGTAATTATATCACTACATTTAACTGGAGTTTATTTTAAAATTCCTGTTTACAATATACTGGTTGGGGACCACCAAAACCGGACAACCACCAAACCCGGACGGCCCCAAAAATGCTTAATTTAGAATTTTCTTTGTTTAGTGGTGGTCAGTCATTTTTATATCAACAATAAATGCATGTATCTTCTAAAATTAAGTAAATAAATTTATTTCAACCTCCGTAAATGGTAATATTTTAATGTATATTTCAAGAATGTTGACGTTGAAATTTGCGGGCCAAGAAAGCAATGCCTGACCTCATATACCAGCTATAATCATTTGCAGAGTAAACAATAGAATATCCAAAACTTCAGCATTTGTTGCTGAAATAATGTATACCATGTTAAAAGTCACAAATCAAAGCACCCAAGCTTTTATCTGAATTAAAACACGTCATGTACATATCTGTCCGGACACAATTGGTACTGTAGTGTTGACAATTTAGGTAATTTTGATACCCTCCTTGTCGAGCCTCAGATATAAGAGTAAATACATTCAGAAATAAACAAACTAGTTTGTTAGTTAGGAGAAGAACCTAGCTGAACTTTGTCAATTTTTTTTATTTCTAGGTTAAAAATTATGAAATCTGTAAGGAAAAATGTTCAAAAAGTGTCCGGTTGATGGTCCCTGACCAGTAAGCAGACGGTCTCTCTCAATTTGAATATCAATTTGTACTTCAGAAATTAACAAGAATTGAAAATGAAATTCTTTTTTTATGGACACAGCCAAAATTAACACTTTTTGTCTATTTTATGCTGACATAGTAACATAAAAACTTACATAGACTTTGAATATTTAAGTTAAAAACTGTAGCCAGTAAAGAAACAAGAAGTCAAACTCACTCCCGGTCAAACTTTGCTTCAAAAAATAAAAATTATCAAACTTTTAAGTTTTCAAATATTTTATGAAATAGATGAATAAAACGTAAATGTTGTTTTTAAACTTTTTTTTAATTGAAGCCATTGACCTTTCCCAAAGGTTAGTGCAGCAGCATTTAGTTAGAATTTTATGTTAGTTACTTTCTTAAATGTTCACTACACAACATTATACTTTTAAATACATTTTCAAAATTTTAATAAAAACCAGCATGAATCTGGAGGCATGCTGCTTTAAAATTTCAAAATTTGAAGACATGAATTATACATTTCAATATCATTTTAATAAATTTTAAAAAATTATTACTTCTTGTTCACAATTGTATATTGATTTTTTTCTTTTCTTTTATTTTCAGACAAAGAAGACATTCTAGATCTAGGTCTAGATCTAGGCGTTCCAGGTCCAGATCTAGATGTGCCAGGGACAGGTGCCATTCCAAAAGGCCTAGGACCCCTAGTCCCCATCTGTCTAGGGATAATAGGCCTAGTGGTAGTGGTACTAGTTCTTCGGCCATCAAGATAGCACGGACATCAACACCTGCAAGAGAGGAAGTGCCTCTTTTACCTGACATAGAAAGTCCTCTACTTAATCAGCTCAGTGAACCTGAATTTCCAGAGCTGTTTGGTACACAGTAAGTACTTTATACAATGTCTTTGAGTGAAATAAATAGTTAATTACAAGTGTTTTGGTTTCACTCAGGACTTTCATCTATTACTATTCTATTTTATCAATAAACTAACATTTTCATTCTTTTAGTTGGTTTTCAATTGAATATTTGTTACAAGAACTTTTATGTATGATAAGACTCTAGGTCCTTTCCTCTATGTTTTTCTCTACAAATAAAAATAAATGAAAAATAGAAAACAGTGCATAAATAAATTAAATATTATGTTATATTTTGAGCTGCCAGATCAAAATGTTTTAAATTGAATCCTTTATTTTCTTCTAAAATTAACAGGAAGGGGCCTGTTGTCACACTCATGATTGTTTTATTGTTATTGTGAAACTTAAATTCATACTAAACATTTCTATTAATATTTACCAGCCTCACAAATGAGATGATCTGGCAGATGGAGGAATGGCGTCTTGAGGCTGAAGAGCATTTTGACTTCAGTCTCCTGCTGTCTAAAAATAGCAAGGACAGCAGTAAGAAAGGTGCTCATCTCAATTATATTATCATGCCTGTTTATATTTTATTTCAGAACTTCACCAGTGTTAGATGGATAAATTATCAACATTTCCTTACAAATTGTTCATTTTTCAGACAAAATGGCTCATTGCATGTTCTGAAAACAAAATTTTTTCCTCTGATTTATGTTATGTTTACTTTGTATTTTGCAATCTTTATAATTACATTTTGTATCTACTTAACTACTTTATTTCAATCTTGTTTTCAGGTACATGAAATAGACTTTTTCTAACAAAAAGAAACAAGTACATGTATTTATTTCATGCTTTCCAGTGTTTTACTGTAAATATTGGATGATTATATTCTGTTAAACCACTAGTGAAATTTATAAAAAAAAAAATTTTTGCTGACAGTTACGCCGAACTTTATCTAAATGTGGGTGAAAAGAATATCATAACTAATTTAAATAGAACAACATAAAGGAGAATGCGCGATGTTACGCGGTAAAATCAGTAAACATACTTAAAATCACTAATAAAGCATGAAATAAGAAGAAAATTTATTTGTTTTGCATATAAGATTGAAAATATTTCATTCTGAACACGAGCTATTCTATTTTCACTTGTGGCTATGCCACTCATGAAAATATTGTATCTGGTGTTCACTCAGTGAAATATATTTCAATCTTACATGCAAAACAAACAAATATCCTCTTATATAATTAAAATTCTAAGTAAGTATATGCCATATTTTAACTTCTGTCAATCTAATAGCTTACATATCTTTGAAATAAACATGAGTTACTATATATTTCAGTGAGCCGCAAGAGTGGTAGGGACGATGATACAGATTGGTACCCTGCTGCAAAACGGCCCGCCATCCACGTCAACCCAAGTCATCCCAACTTTCGGAGGTATTTTTACTAGTTAGTTATTGTAGTGTAGTAATGCTGTAGGGGGTGTAGGGTAGTTAGTTTTTTTAATGAGTTTTTATCAAATAGTGTTGTCAAAATAAATAGGAGACATAAATAAGAGCAATTTCATCAGTTTTCAGAAATTTTATCATTTTTGTGCCCCCACTATGGGGGGATTTAGATTTACCCTTGTCCGTCCGTTCCTTCTCTTTTTGTGTCGCAGGTAGCTCAAAAAGTAATTGACCTAGAGTCATGAAACCTTACAGGAATGTTGATCAGCATGTGAAGTTGTGCACCTGGGTATTTTCATGTGAATATATTTAGTACTTTTAGAGTTATTGCCCTTGACTTGGTAAAAATTTGCAATTTTCAACTTGTGTCGCACGTAACTCAAAATATATTTGACCTAGAGACATGAAACCTTACTGGAATGTTGTTCAGCATGTGTAGTTGTGCACCTGGGTATTTTCATGTGGATATTTTTAGTATTTTTAGAGTTATTGCCCTTGATTTAGTAAAAAATTCCAATTTTCAACTTGTGTCACACGTAACTAAAAAAGTATTTGACCTAGAATCATGAAACCTTACGAGAATGTTGCTCAGCATGTGTAGTTGTGCACCTGGGTATTTTCGTGTGGATATTTTAGTATTTTTAGAGTTATTGCCCTTGACTTAGTAAAAATTTCCAATTTTCAACTTGTGTCACACGTAACTAAAAAAGTATTTGACCTAGAGTCTTGAAACTTTACAAAAATGTTGCTCAGCATGTGTAGTTGTGCACCTGGGTATTTTCATGTGGATATTTTTAGTATTTTTTAGAGTTATTGCCCTTGAATTAGTAAAAATTTGCAATTTTCAACTTGTGTCGCATGTAACTCAAGAAATATTTGACCTAGAGTCATGAAACCTTACAGGAATGTTGATCAGCATGTGTAGTTGTGCACCTTGGTATTTTTGTGTGGATATATTTAGTTTTTTTAGAGTTATTGCCCTTGAATTAGTAAAAATTTCCAATTTTCAACTTGTGTCAGACGTAACAAAATAGTATTTGACCTTGAATTATGAAACCTTACAAGAATGTTGCTCAGCATGTGTAGTTGTGCACCTTGGTATTTTTGTGTGGATATTTTTAGCATTTTTAGAGTTATTGCCCTTGAATTAATAAAAAATTTCCAATTTTCAACTTGTGTCGCACGTAACTAAAAAATATTTGACCTAGAGTCATGAAACCTTACAAGAATGTTGCTCAGCATGTGAAGTTGTGCACCTGGATATTTTGGTGTGGACATTTTTAGTATTTTTAGAGTTATTGCCCTTGACTTAGTAAAAATTTACAATATTCAACTTGTGTTGCAGGTAACTCAAAAAGTATTTGACCTGTAGGCCTGAACGTTTACAAGAATGTTGGTCAGCATGTGTACTTATGCACCTTGGGATTTTCTTGTGGATTTATTCAGTATTTATAGTATTTGCCCTTTACTTAAATAAAAGATTTTTAGTTTTCAAGTTGGGCACATGTAGCCAAAAAAAAATTTGACCTAGAGACATAAGATTGACAAATCGGTGGAGTGTGGGGGCACTGTGTCCTATGGACACATTTCTAGTTTTTTTATATATTGCACCCTTTTCAACTGACCTGTTGTCCATCCATAGACTGGCAAAACAGTGGAATATGGAGGAAACCTATGTACACATTTCTAGTTCTAAATGATTTTTGTGTTCTGAAGTCTCATTTAAAAACTAGCATCCCATTTTTTATATTTCAGTCATTAGTGTCAAGTGCATATTTTAGGAGGCATATTAAGGGGGCAATTTTTGTGCTGAACAGTCCATAATTAAGCCAATTTTTCACTATAGCAATGGTCATTTCAGTTCCACACATTATGCTGTTTTAAATTTGTTTTAATATTTGAACATCATAAGTTACCTTTAACTGATATAATACTAAATTAATGATCTTTTTGTATTATTAACATTTTTTTAAGGATTTTTACTGTTTTGTTTAGTTTTGTAATTTACTTTTTTCACTGTCTCACTTTTACATTCATTATCACAGTTAAAGTGAAAGTCTTTAAAGGGATGATACTCTATTTTAAAATGGATTGTCAGTGGTTCTTTTTTTTTTCCAAACTGAATATAAAGTAAACATTGGGTAATTGAAGATTATGATTTTTAGAGCAGTAAGATCATAAAAATGTTAATTCAATGACAACAGAAATAAGTTTAGCTTACTGGCTTTTATTTTTTTACATTTTCACATTTTAATGATAACGATTCTTATGGACTTTTTGCTTTAAAAACATGGCAATTTTTACTCAATTTGCCACTCTGTGTTGCATTTCCTTGTCTTTTAAATAATTTGTTATAAAGTTTTCAAAAGCTATTACTCTTTGCTTAGTCTTCTAAGAGAACAAATCCCTTTACCTTGTTTACTTGTTAATTTATAATATAGATATATTTTTTTAGATTTAAAGCACTTCTTGATAATACCTTATACATGTATAATTAGTGGTTTATTTCTTAGTAATCTTTTTATCAAAATATTTTTTTATTCTAAAATTTTGAAAATAACTTTTACAATTTTAATTACTCTTTTAGAAAAATTTTATCATTTTGGTATCAGAGTTTGTCTCCAAATTTTGTTTCATAGATAATTATTGTGGTTTGCTACAGCATTTATAAGGTAGATAGCCAAAAATTAAAAAAAAAAATAAAAAAGATAAATAAAAAAAATCTTAAAAACAAAATAAAAAAAGAACAAAATTCACAAAAATTACAAAAAAAAGAGTAGAATTAAGTTTAGTGTAGAATCTAAAATAGTAGGATGTAAGGTGGTATGGACAGCTAGAAGGGGAGGTTTGAGGCCATTTAGATAGTTTATGTAATTTATTCAGTAGTTAGTAAGGGTGGTATGGACGGCTAGAAGGGGAGGTTGGAGGCCGTTTAAATAGTTTATGTATATTTGATATGTAGTAAGGGTGGTATGGACGGCTGGAATGGGTGGTTGGAGGCCGTCTAGATAGTTTATGTATATTCAGCAGGTAGTAAGGGTGGTATGGACAGCTAGAAGGGGAGGTTGGAGGCCGTTTAAATAGTTTATGTATATTTGATATGTAGTAAGGGTGGTATGGATGGCTAGAAGGGAGGTTGGAGGCCGTTTTAGATAGTTTATGTATATTTGATATGTAGTAAGGGTGGTATGGACGGCTGGAAGGGGAGGTTGGAGGCCGTTTAGATAGTTTAAGTATATTCAATAGGTAGTAAGGGTTGGTATGGACGGCTGGAAGGGGAGGTTGGAGGCCGTTTAGATAGTTTAAGTATATTCAATAGGTAGTAAGGGTGGTATGGACGGCTGGAAGGGGAGGTTGGAGGCCGTTTAGATAGTTTAAGTATATTCAATAGATAGTAAGGGTGGTATGGACGGCTGGAAGGGGAGGTTGGAGGCCGTTTAGATAGTTTAAGTATATTCAATAGGTAGTAAGGGTGGTATGGACGGCTGGAAGAGAAGGTTGGAGGTCGTTTAGATAGTTTAAGTATATTCAATAGGTAGTAAGGGTGGTATGGACGGCTGGAAGGGGAGGTTGGAGGCTGTTTAGATAGTTTATGTATATATGATAGGTAATAAGGGTGGTATGGACGGCTAGAAGGGGAGGTTGGAGGCTGTTTAGATAGTTTATGTATATTCAGCATTTAGTAAGGGTGGTATGGACGGCTGGAAGGGGAGGTTGGAGGCTGTTTAGATAGTTTATGTATATTCAGCAGGTAGTAAGGGTGGTATGGACGGCTGGAAGGGGAGGTTGGAGGCTGTTTAGATAGTTTATGTATATATGATAGGTATAAGGGTGGTATGGACGGCTAGAAGGGGAGGTTGGAGGTCGTTTAGATAGTTTATGTATATTCAGCAGGTAGTAAGAGTGGAATGGACGGCTGGAAGGGGAGGTTGGAGGACGTTTAGATAGTTTATGTATATTTGATGTGTAGTAAGGGTGGTATGAGCTGGAAGGGGTGGTTGGAGGCCGTTTAGATAGTTGATATATATTTGATGTGTAGTAAGGGTGGTATGAGCTGGAAGGGGTGGTTGGAGGCCGTTTAGATAGTTTTATGTATATTTGATGTGTAGTAAGGGTGGTATGGACGGCTAGAAGGGGAGGTTGGAGGACGTTTAGATAGTTTAATGTATATTTGATGTGTAATAAGGGTGGTATGGACGGCTAGAAGGGGAGGTTGGAGGCCGTTTAGATAGTTTATGTATATTTGATGTGTAGTAAGGGTGGTATGGACGGCTAGAAGGGGAGGTTGGAGGCCGTTTAGATAGTTTATGTATATTTGATGTGTAGTAAGGGTGGTATGGACGGCTAGAAGGGGAGGTTGGAGGCCGTTTAGATAGTTTATGTATATTTGATGTGTAGTAAGGGTGGTATGGACGGCTAGAAGGGGAGGTTGGAGGCCGTTTAGATAGTTTATGTATATTTGATGTGTAGTAAGGGTGGTATGGACGGCTGGAAGGGGAGGTTGGAGGCCATTTAAATAGTTTATGTATATTCAGTAGGTAGAAAGGGTGGTATGGACGGCTAAAAGGGGAGGTTGGAGGCCGTTTAGATAGTTTATGTATATTTGATAGGTAGTAAGGGTGGTATGGACGGCTAGAAGGGGAGGTTGGAGGCCGTTTATATAGTTGTATATTCCATAGGTAGTAAGGGTGGTATGGACGGTTGGAAGGGAAGTTTGAAAGGGGATCTATGGTTATGAAGCCTGCATATCACAGATAAGATGTCAAAAGACAAAGTTAAAAAGCAGGCAACATATCCTAAGGGTGATTCAACATTATTCAAGTAGGAATATTGGAACCACCCAATTAGAAAATGCCAAAAAGTTACAACTTAAAATACCACAAACACAAAAATAATGTTGTGCTGAACGATCTTTAAGGATTGGAAATATAACATCTCTGATTGAATGTGTTAGCAATTTTAGCTGTAAATGCAAGTTCAATTGCGCAGTGATACATGTATTGTTAATAAAATAGAGAAAAACAGAATCACTAAAGAAAGTCAAACACAACATAATTGAAAATGTTGCAGGCTCGGTTTGATTGAGCCTGTTCATGGACGGTACTGGAAAGTGCAAGTTACCGTCCACGCCCCCCAGCACCGGCTTAAGCAGAATTCAACATTTAACACAGAAATGGTGAAATTTTGAATATAGAAACATTCGCAGATGTTTTCATACGGCGGTTAAAGACTCATGTTTACCTGAATGAGTGTCAGAGTCAGAGTGATTAATTAAATAGCAATTTGAAAGATAAAACCTGCATTATTGTACAAAAGCACTAGAAAAATAGGAAATAGATATAAATTCTGAGTGCATTGTTGTAGAATAATGCACAGTTCCAGTTTAAATGCATAGGAATATAATTGGGGAGGCCGATCATTTGAAAAAATAACTGTGCATTATTATACAACAATGCACAACGAATTAATAACTTTGTCCATTCTTTGTAGCAACTTAATAAAAAGAAAATTGATAAAAAAAAATATGTTGAACTACATTGAGCTTAGAAGTGATTTTCCTGACTTCCTAATTTGTGAAGCGTACTTAAGAGTGTACAATAATACTGGAAAAATTATTTTCTATTTTTTCCTCAGTTTGACATGCTAATAAGAGAGGAATACCTAGTGGCATGCTTATACTTTTAATTGCACATTATAAATACCTCATGGCATGCCACTGTGATTTAATCACCCTCAATACCTAATGGCATGCCATTGTGATTTAATCACCCTCAGTACCTGGTGGCATGCCACTGTGATTTAATCACCCTCAATACTTGGTGGCATGCCAATTAAGGTGATTTAATCGTCCTCAATACCTGGTAGCATGCCATTATACTTTAATCACCCTCAATGCCTGGTGACATGCCAATACTTTAATTGCCCTCAATACCTGGTGGTATGCCAATACTTTAATTGCCCTCAATACCTGGTGGCATGCCAATACTTTAATTGCCCTCAATACCTGGTGGCATGCCAATACTTTAATTGCCCTCAATGCCTGGTGGCATGCCAATACTTTAATTGCCCTCAATACCTGGTGGCATACCAATACTTTAATTGCCCTCAATACCTGGTGGCATGCCAATACTTTAATTGCCCTCAATACCTGGTGGCATGCCAATACTTTAATTGCCCTCAATGCCTGGTGGCATGCCAATACTTTAATTGCCCCCAATACCTGGTGGCATGCCAATACTTTAATTGCCCTTAATACCTGGTGGCATGCCAATACTTTAATTGCCCTCAATACCTGGTGGCATGCCAATACTTTAATTGCCATCAATACCTGTGGGCATGCCAATACTTTAATTGCCCTCAATACCTGTGGGCATGCCAATACTTTAATTGCCCTCAATACCTGGTGGCATGCCAATACTTTAATTGCCCTCAATAACTGGTGGCATGCCAATACTTTAATTGCCCTCAATAACTGGTGGCATGCCAATACTTTAATTGCCCTCTATTAATACCTGGTGGCATGCCAATATTTATTCATGTTTAATTTCTCCTTAGAATGATACATGACTGCATGACTAAATGATTCAAGAATCATGCTGTTAATGCTGAGCACCAGTTGAGGAATTTGTTATAAATATCTAATATCCATACCACTGGAATCAAGGATGGCTTACAGGGAGTCAGATCTGCTAATTGTGTTTGTAAACAAGGCTTAGAAACTCTCAGCACAAATCCATTGCTGTTATTTATGCATTAAATTATGTCCATTTTTTAAAAAGGGAATGATTAAATTTTATTTTTTTGCAGTGGAGGATGAGACATGATGGTAGAAAAATGAATAACTTTAAGAAAGCAACTGCAGTACTTCATCAGCTGACTGTCTTATAGTCGGGAATCATACACCGCATGTTCAGACAATATTAGTCACATTTGGAGTGATATGCTAAAGCATAAGTCATCCTTTTAGATTAAATACAATGGTAAGCAAAAACTGCCTTTAACATAGTTCCCATTTTTAACCAGGATTTTAATTTTGAAAATCCTGGTTATTAGATTGCTGTGGTAACGAGCCAATGGCCATAAAGGTGGTTGGATGGACGGGCAGATATGTGTCAAACAAGATGGTTTCTGGTCAAGAACTAAAGTTTAAATTGACTTGTCTTAATAAACTTGGTTATATCAAGCTTATGTGAAGACCTCCCTTGAGCTTGCTTTTTGACCCCCAAGGGTCAGTTTCAGTGTTACAGATGCTAAAAAAAACAAGCACTTGATAGTATTGCGGGCAATACAGTAGTCCCCTACCGGTCCCTCAAAAAGTTCTTTAATTGTCATACACTCCTGTGTATTGCCATTTATAATGAATTTGAGGATGAAGTCTGTATTTGAAAATATCGACCACAAAACATAATAAAATAAGTTTGTCTATATCACAGTAATGTGTTAAGTTTCCATGCTTAGTAAGGAAATTATGTTTATACAACCTTGTCATATTATTACGATGTGGGATTTTAAAGTAAATCCTATAAGGAATGAAGAAGTTGTAGTGAAAATACCAGTTTCTCGAAAAAAATCTAAGTTCAAGGGGGACATAATTCTGGAAATAGTCTTGCTAGAGTATTTAACCTTCTCAAAAATGTCGAGTGATAATAAGAAAAAAGACAACATTTTTCCCCCTAAAAAATCTAAGTTCAAGGGAGGTAATACTGATATTTTTGTGCTAGAGTTATAAACCTTGTCACATATGATGTGGTTGATGACCAGAAACTTATATTTAAAGTTTGAAGTAAACACCTTAAGAAATAAAGAACATATAGTGAAAAAGCTGAAAAATTTAAATCAGAAATCTTGAAATTCAGGCTATTTGTTGCCATAGCAACCAGAATTCTCAACATAGGAAGAAAAGAAAAAGATGTGCATAATCTCCATACTGCCATCTATCCATATATCAAGTTTCATAAAAATATTTTCAGTACTTTTTGAGTTATCACTGGATCCAGTTTATGTGTTAAATTTGCCATATTTTCAGACTATTTGTTGCCATAGCAACCAAAATTTTCAACATAGGAAAAAAAAAAAAAGACGTGCATAATCTCCATACTGCCATCTATCCATATATCAAGTTTCATAAAAATATTTTCAGTACTTTTTGCGTTATCGCGGGATCCAGTTTTGTGGACGGACGGACTGACAGATGGACAGACAGACAGACGGACAAATGGACGGAGGGTAAACCTAAAGTCCCCTCCGGTTCAACCGGTAGGGGACTAAAAAGAAAAATGGTTTCCGGTCAATAATTGGAGTCAGGAATGAAGTATTTCAATGAAACTTGGTTTATTTGCAAGTTTATGTAAATACTTTGCTTAGGATTGCTTTTATGCCATGGAGGGTCAAGGTCAAGGTTGCTGTTAGTAAAAATAGAAAATTTAGTTTCTGGTCAATATCTAAAGTTTTGAATGACATAATTAAATGAAACTTGATGTGTAGCAAACTCATGCGAAGAATCGCTTTGGATTACTTTTGGGCTCTTCAGGGTTAAAGTAAAGGTCATTGTTACTAAAAATAGAAAATGGGTTCTTGTCAATAACTAAAGTTTGGAATAAGATATCTCAATGAAAAGTGGTGTATAGCAAGCTTATGTCAAGATCTTGCTTAGGAATTTGCTTTTGGGCCCCATAGAGTCAAGGTCACTGTTGCGGTCAATAACTAGAGTAAGGAAAGGAGGTAATCATTTGCTTTTGCCCCTTCCCCCAGAGTCAAGGTCACTGTTACTACAAACAGAAAAAAGTGGTTTCCAATCAGCAACTATAGTTAAGAATAAAATTTTGCGATCAAAATTAGTGGATATATCAAGCTTATGCTTAGCAATCTCTTTTGATTGCTTTTGGGCCCAGAGAGGTCAAGGTGATTTTTTGCGTGAAGAAGCACCTAGCTTAGGTCTTCTCCCACCAGCAAAGTTGGAAAGTAGCCTTATGACTTTTACAGTGTGAATTTAACTTAAAATGAAACAAGTAAACAATAAGAGGCTATATTGCATGCAAGAATGGATCATAGTCAGCCATCATTCTAGTTAGAAGCTAATAAAATGCATCAGCTGTTATTTCAGTAAGAAGCAATTATTAAAGGGTATAAATCGATATCTTATGTAATATTTTCTAAATAAATTATCAACAGTAAAATTATATTGGCTAGGTTCCATTATTATATGGTTGATTGCCGAAAAAGTTGTAACATAGAATGTCTCTGTTATTTAACACACATGAATAATATACGTAAACAGAATAAAATGTTCCGTAACAAAATATTATTTGGCTATTTTATGTAGGGTTTTATCCAATTAGCAATGACTTTGTGCATGCATCACTCGCTTTAAGGCAATTAATTGCACACAAGCATTTTGGAAGTATTCTTTTTTTTAAATCCAAACAATAATTTTTGCATCAGATATATAGCTTTATACACTTTGAGCTATCATTTCAAAATGTATCTGTCATCATTTCAGTGTGAAGAAGAGAGTAATATCAGCAATCATTTAATTGAGAAAGAGAGAGAAAATATCAGCAATCATTTCAGTGAGAAGGAGATAAAAAATATCACCCATCATTAAAGCAAATTATCAGCAATCATTTTAGCATAAAGGAGAAAGCAAATATCAGCAATCATTTCAGTGAGAAAGGGAAAGAAAACATCAGCAATCATTTCAGTTAGAAGGAGAAAGTAAATATCAGCAATCATTTCAGTGTTAAGGTGAAAGTAAATATCAGTCATCATTTCAGTTAGAAGGAGAAAGTAAATATCAGCAATCATTTCAGTGATAAGGAAAAAGTAAATATCAGCAATCATTTCAGTGAGAAGGAGAAAGCAAATATCAGCAATCATTTCAGTGAGAAGGAGAAAAAAAATATCAGCAATCATTTCAGTGTTAAGGTGAAAGCAAATATCAGCAATCATTTCAGTGAGAAGGAGAAAGCAAATATCAGCAATCATTTCAGTGAGAAGGAGAAAGTAAATATCAGCAATCATTTCAGTGTTAAGGTAAAAGGAAATATCAGCAATCATTTCAGTGAGAAGGAGAAAGCAAATATCAGCAATCATTTCAGTGAGAAGGAGAAAGCAAATATCAGCAATCATTTCAGTGAGAAGGAGAAAGCAAATATCAGCAATCATTTCAGTGTTAAGGTGAAAGTAAATATCAGCAATCATTTCAGTGAGAAGGAGAAAGCAAATATCAGCAATCATTTCAGTGTTAAGGTGAAAGCAAATATCAGCAATCATTTCAGTGTTAAGGTGAAAGTAAATATCAGTCATCATTTCAGTTAGAAGGAGAAAGTAAATATCAGCAATCATTTCAGTGATAAGGAAAAAGTAAATATCAGCAATCATTTCAGTGAGAAGGAGAAAGCAAATATCAGTCATCATTTCAGTGATAAGGAGAAAGTAAATATCAGCAATCATTTCAGTGTTAAGGTGAAAGCAAATATCAGCAATCATTTCAGTGAGAAGGAGAAAGCAAATATCAGCAATCATTTCAGTGAGAAGGAGAAAGTAAATATCAGCAATCATTTCAGTGAGAAGGTAAATATCAGCAATCATTTCAGTAAGAAGGAGAAGGCAAATATCAGCAATCATTTCAGTTAGAAGGAGAAATCAAATATCAGCAATCATTTCGGTGTTAAGATAAAAGTAAATATCAGCATTCATTTCAGTGAGAAGGAGAAAGGAAATATCAGCAATCATTTCAGTAAGAAGGAGAAAGCAAATATCAGCAATCATTTCAGTGATAAGGAAAAAGTAAATATCAGCAATCATTTCAGTGAGAAGGTAAATATCAGCAATCATTTCAGTGAGAAGGAGAAGGTAAAAATCAGCAATCATTTCAGTGTTAAGGAGAAATCAAATATCAGCAATCATTTCAGTGAGAAGGAGAAAGCAAATATCAGCAATCATTTCAGTGTTAATGTAATAGCAAATATCAGCAATCATTTCAGTAAGAAGGAGAAAGTAAATATCAGCCATCATTTCAGTGTTAAATTAATAGCAAATATCAGCAATCATTTTAGTGAGAAGGAGAAAGTAAATATCAGCAATCATTTCAGTGTTAAGGTAATAGCAAATATCAGCAATCATTTCAGTCAGAAGGAGAAAGTAAATATCAGCAATCATTTCAGTGTTTAGGTAATAGCAAATATCAGCAATAATTTCAGTAAGAAGGAAAGAGTAAATATCAGTCATCATTTCAGTGTGGAGATAAAAGAAATCAGCAATCATTTAAGTGTGACAAAAACATTTTTAGAATTTGTCTACAAATGACAGGATTGCCATCATGCTAGTTGTTTTACATATTTACTTTTTTCAATGACTTTTTGGTTTTGTATAATTATACAAATAGAGGATATTGAATGAGTGTAACTTTGATACTGAATTTCTTTGAACAAGTTGAATGAAATTATTTCATGTGAGCCTCTCATGCTCTGGCGAGCATAATACTATTTTATTCAATGAACTCAATAAACTCAGTGATGAACTTACATGAATTTAATATTCTATTTATCATATACCAAAAATTTAAGACAGTTAATGTAAAGAAAACATTTTTCATTAATGCGCCTAAAGTGTAAGGCCAACATTTTTCGCGTCTTAACGCTATGTTTATATACTGTAACCCAACGAATATTCGCGACCAATTAATATTTGCTTTATTCGCGGATGGCCACGAAGCGTGAATATTTGTTTGCGCGAATAAGTCCACTCGATTTCGCGAATAAATTGGAGAGAAATATTTATTTTAGACGTTGTTCATGCAAAGCTCCTTGACCGGATATATTCGAATTTTACGGGCACATGTTAGGAAGTAATGAATTGTTATGAATATTGCCATATATAAAGCAATAAAAACACAAACTAAGTAAACTACAAATGTACTACTATTTTATAAATATCAAAAGAACTCTATGTCCATATAGCAATCAAAATCATAATGTCCGTAACTTCCACGTTTACGCTTTACACCACTCTTTGGTGATACAATTTTAAATACAGCTTTGTTTGCCGCTTTAATCATTTTTTTTCTTTTCTGGTGTGCTTTCCAGATCATGATCAGGCAAAAGCGATGCTGAAACATCCCTGCATTCTGAGGGTTTATTTTTTATCAACCACCCTTTTAACGACATGTTTAGAAATGAAGACGAACAATGCGTACATGTACATATACAGAGAAAATGTTTTGCTGAATTGTGATCACAATTCACTTACCAATACAATATATAAGGCTAGCGTAATGTTAATCCCATTTAAGACACCAAAAATGACCTCAATTATTGAAGATTAATAGTCGGCTAATGGATTTTACGGCCCCATCGGACTTTCCAATCCGCAAATTTTTTTTTTGCGGAAATTAATATTCGCGAATATGTCCGACCTCGGCAAAACGCGAAAATTTGTTTTCGCGAATTTGGGTTACAGTAACGCAAATGACGTCACATCAAAATTTATGCACCACTGTGCAATACAATATTTACGAAGCCGCAAAATCGGCACAGGTATGTGATAAATTTATATTGTCAAAAGTATAAGACTGTAACACAATGTAATAAAATATAATAGTCCATTAAAAACAAAATGAAATTTGGTTGTATTTAATGGCCCATTCTCAGGGAAATTGTGATATCCAAGGAGAAATGATGAAAAAATAATAATCTCTCCAATCTTACTTATTAATTGTTTTTTCTCAGTATCTCAGATATGTCTAATTTGTGACTGAAAGTTTTTCATAATCATCGTATGCATTGATTTTTAGCTCAACTATAAAAAAATACAGGTATTGTTACAGTCATGTCGGCCAAAAACTTGTACCATGATCATATTAAGTTGTTGGTGTATTGTCTTCAAACTTAGCCACAACAACCCTTGAGACAAGACCTGTAAGTGGACCAGACTAAACTTGACCTTCATTCATAAATGACCTTGACCTTCAAGGTTGAATGTCTAAATTTTGCTTAATTTGTGCTGTTAGTGGCTATAACTAGTGATGTTCCGATTGTCACAAGTAGCTGATAATCAGTTACTGTTATGTAAAGCGACAATAATCACCCTCAAAAAATCATCTCGGAGACAATTTGGAGTTGAACAGGATCAATATGTGATGTAAACAATAGTTACGTTAATATAATGTGATGTGAATGTTATTATTTGACATCCATTGAAAAATAAAATGTATTTCGTAAAATCATGACTATACAAGGTTAAAACTGTTTTGAAAAGTGCTAAATGAAGCTCATGTTACTGGACATAATTAAGTGCCTTGGAAAGAAATGTTAGGTCCCTATTTCTTTTTAACGCGACTTTATTTAAAAAGTTATCGATTATGTCCCATCAGATTGAACCGATGATCGATTGGGACAAATTTCATCTGATTTCTATCACTAGCTATAACTTTTTTTTATTTTTGAATGGATTGTCTTTAACATAACATAAAAACACTGTGACCTAACTACATGGAACAAAGTTATCACCAGTTGTAGCACAATTCATTAATTTGACCTAAAGTCAACTATATACATGTATAACATTAAGCCACTAGACCAGAGGGTATATAGATTGCCCCTTCTTGTTTATAATTTGTTACCAAACAAACTATTCATCAGTATACATGTGTACATGTACTAAACATTTCAAGATAAATTGTAAGAACATTCAGAAGTTTGGTCTTTATTCAAAGTTAGTTTGTTAAAAAGCAAACAAAACAAATGTTGTACATGATAAAAGGTCATTTTTAGCACATACATACAGTAACTTTCTCTTTTATTTTTAAAACAGTTTTATAAATTCAGACTCGACTAGAATAATATGTTAAGTTAGTAACTTTATCCCTACACTACCTCACAAATGATAAATAGTTGACTAAATCTTGTAAAAGGAGATGGCATTTATCAAGAAAAATCTGTACATTATTTTTTCTTTTTATATTTTCAGATGGCACATTGATACATAAAAAAAATTATATTCATGTAGTTACAAAATAATAAACAAAAGGTCAGTCAATAAAAGACCTTTAATTAATTACCCGAGTGAAAGCTACAAGAGTGAGCAAATCTCTATGACCAAAAAAAAATATCCCTACAACCTACCCCCCAACTATTTTTTAGGTCTGTTGACCTTGACTCCAATCACCCCAAAAATGAAAAGAAGTAGAGGTCCCTGTCAGATATGAACATATTAAAGGGACTCCACCGAGTTTTTTTGACATGATTGGACTTAAAATATTTTTTCAAGATAAATGTACCATTTGATGTAGGTTAAGACCACTTATCCTTGTCCACAATTTCAGATCATTCGCGCACTTCGTTATTCAAGAATAATTATTCAAATTGTAAAAAATGACCCAAAATGAAAAGCGTTTAAACGTTTTTCACTCAAATTGGGCTAAGAAAAGCATAAAAATACGATTTTCAATTTATTTCAAAGTATATTTCTTAACTATCTTTGCATATATTTCTGTTTAAAGTACCCCAGCTCATTTACGTAATAAATACAAAAGTTATGATTTTAGGCTTTTAAACTTCAGTGGAGTCCCTTTAAATGTTTAAATGAAGGTTAATAAATGTAGCTTCTATGAGAAAATAATTGAAAAAAAAACTTGCACATTTATATTTCACTTGAAGCTTTATTCCCCTCTACACGTTATCCCACTTACCCACCCTGTTTATGCTGATAATAACTTGAGTAATATAAATATATACAAAATTTAAACATGTCTTTGACCAAACTAAATACATGTACATCTTTACAAATACTCGGACAGCCTTCAACTTTTTCTTTTCTCCATTTTTAGCACAGGTTTGAATGTATACCACAAAGCATGTTACATTATTTCTATGGGCTTCTTACTCATGGTGCATGCACTTGACAAATCACTCATCGGACAATAACTTGAAAAAAAAAATGAAAAAATAATCTGACATTATACTTAACCCTTACCATGTCAAATGAACTTGCCCATCTTTCAATATGAACTAAACCATTCATAGTTATTAGGGAAAATTTTTAAATAGGTACTGAGTAGCGAACAAACACAGACCATGATCAGGCAACATCGATTTACAGGCACTGGTCACATGGGTAGAATCTGTTGCTGTCTGTAGACCGAAAGTTTGGAAAAACTCTATAATATGAACATACATGTATATGCTATGTTTGATCTGTTATTTGAAAAAAGGGCGAAGTTTGAAGGAGGAAACAAATAAAATTCATAGAAACTTATTGATAGTGATTTATTTCTACCAACCGGATTTTAGTTCATATTTCAATCACAGATAAAATAAAGGTAAAAATTCAATATTTATTTGATTTTAACAACAACAACAACAAATTATCTTAGATATTGAAGTGGTTACAAAGGGGAATTAAAACATAAATAACTCCTTCACCATAAACCTTTTGTTTTGCATTACAATCTTTCAATACTCAAGTGTACCAAATAGTTTATTTAATGGATCAAAATTATGCTTATGTTTTGATGGCAACAATGTGCGATTGCATGGCATAAGCTGGTACTACAAACCAACAGATTTTAATTATCAATGTTAAGGGATATAAACTGTATGAACAATTCTGATTACAAAAAGTATGTCGCATGACTTTTTTGCAAAAATCATCCTGTACATGTTTAGCATAAAAAAATGCAAGTTAAACATGATGTAGATTTTGCATTTACAACACCAATAAGAGAGCCTTGAAAGCCCTAAATCGCTCAACTAAGAACCTATACTGAATAAGGTCATAAATTCTATGATAAAGAAGTAGGTCACTGGGTTACAGGTTAATAGGTCACATTCAGTGTCATACAAGGGCAGACTTTGATTTCACTTACATAAGCCTATCTGTGGTCCAAATTTAAAAATTACAGTTGGCAAAGTATGACATAGAGTTATGATGTCATCAGAATTGAATTAAAAGTTAAAATTTGAGGACCATAGCTTATAAATTCAGACAAATGTGTCAATCTAATTAAAGGCTATTACTAATATTTAAGGTGTTAGCATATTTTTTTTTTAAACAGAAAGTTTTTCTTTTTTGGTTGAAATGCCATTAGAGTTCATTCAGGAAGGAATATATGTCTGTGGACAACTTTTATCAATGAAACATACATAGCCGCATTCATCATCTTTCAAAGTAAAAATCAATGATGCATGATCAACACTGGGCAAACACAAGAGCTCATCTGGAGTCTTTTATGCTCAAATGAGTTAAAATGTCAAATAATTTTGATCAGCAAATTTTTTTTTCAAGCAAAAGCTGACTAATGGAAACATTGATATATTAAAATATTTTTGTGCAACATACAACTTTCTGATAAATAAACTGCTGACAAGAAAATGACCAAATAATGGTTAAAGCAATTATAACCTTTCAGCGTAATTGTGAAGATAAAATATAACAGCCCATTTAACCTGCTGGATTTTTGTAATGGATTTGCCCTGCTTTGAATTTGGAACAGTCCATTTACAGTTTAAGGTATTTTATTATCAAAATACAAAAACTGGACAGAACGGACATACAGATGGGTCTGGGTTTACACTTATAATACTGATGGCAAAGTCTACTTACTGTTGGTGCAGCAGTTTAAGGGATAAAAACATAGAGTACAAGGTTTTCATATCTTAAACGTTACTAATCTATCAATACATGTAGCTTACCATACATACGAAATATTAAAAATAAACCCAAAACTATAAATCTGTCAATTGTATATCAAAAGAATGCAAGGCGTGGAACTGTGGGTGTGGGTAGAAAAAATACATGAAAATCCACAGTATTGCTGATCCACAAAAATTTTCTTTTCTCAATAACAACTTCAATACACTTAAATTATTAAATATCAAAAGCACTTTAGAAATAAACTGATAAATAACACTTGTCCTACTTATAACCACTGGCTTCAAGTCATCCAAATTAAAGCACAAAATTTATGGATGGACTATCTCTTTTAAAACTGCACATTTGAAGAGTTCAGCACATTTCGAATAAGCAACATCGTTATTTATCTTCCAACGACAGTTGTAGAATTCTCTCGAGTTCTTCCTCCTCTTGACGACGCAGGCGCTCGGCTTCCTGTGTTTCCTGTTGAGACACTAAAAGGGCGATACGCAATTGTTCATCTATATCATTAGGTCCGGTATCATTCCGTTCCTCTCTTTCGGAGTATTCTGGGATAGGTTCCGATACAATAGGTCTACCTGACTGTAAGGCAATACTTTCTGCTATGGCTCTGAAACAGTACATGAATGATGAATAATACTGACGATGGTTTAAAACAACACAAACTGATCATATGTATGAGTGTAATAGTATACATGGAATACATTTAAACGGTATACCATTTACAAAGTATACCGTTTTATCCATCTAACAAGTCACTGCAATTGTAGGACAGGTTTGGTTCATAATTTTTGTGTACTTTTTTTATTGACTTTTTTTCCCCTCTCAAACACTGGTGATAAATCTCCGGTACTCTTCAGTGAATTATTTCAGACACAACCAGGCTCACAAGTTAAACCATCGACGTTCCATAAGTAGAACCACCAACATTCCATAAGCTACCGGACTGGATCTGAACCCACAGCATTAAGAGGCTAGTGGTCTGATGTCAAAGAACATAACCATTTGGCCATGGCCACACCTTTACTTCAAAGGTAGATGAGTAATGCGTAGCTTTGAGTCAAACATATCCATATAAATACCTATTATCTTTCTTATATAAATATTGTGACTATTTCATTTTTTTTTATCATACTGTATAGGTATATTTATTTTATTTGAAAAACTTACTGTTGCAACATCCTCTCTTCTTGCTGTGCTCTCCCACGTTTTGGCCGAGATTTTTGTAAGGCTTCATAAAAAGTCAACTGAAATAAAAGTTTAAGTTAAATAGTCACTGCCTATTAAAACATAAACATGTCCGGACATTCATAGGTCAGAACTAGTACAGAATTGAGGATCAAATAGTTGATTCTGGTGTAAAATTCAGAAAACTTGGTCAGTATTTATATAAAAATCCAGCGAAATAAATTATCAGAACTGGAATAGAATCCACTCAAAGTAGGTCAGTACCGATAAAGAATCCAGAAAAGAAATATCAGTACTGGATAAGAATAAAAAATATATATTTGTACTGGTAAAGAATCAAAGAAAAGTATGTTAATAATTGTACAAATCCAGGGAAAAATGAATGTACTGAACTGTACTGTACTGTAACAGTATCTGGAGAATATATAACAGTACTGGAATCAAAAATACAATAGTACTTGTAACAGAATGCAAAATAAATAAGTTAATACTGAAACAGAATTCTCTATCTAGTATCTACCATATTTGTTCTTCTTTAAGACGGACCACTTATAAGACGCGGGTCCTAATTTTGTCTCTAAAATGGCACTTTTGCTAAGACCCTCTTATAAGATGGGAACATTTTTTTAATGAAAAAAAAAATAGTACTGCACCTCAGTTTTTATGGAAAATTGTCATAAATTATGAAAATAAATTGAGAGATCTGGTGAATGAATAACAATTTTCTCAAAGTCAAAACAAAGTAAATAGTGTGTTTACATTAACCTGTTCATCTTCTGTCCCTGCTTCCATTAAACTTTGTTGTATGGCAAACTGTAGTAATTCATCATCCTCATCACGTAATCTTTCATGATGGGCATCACCTAAAAATAGTTACATTATCTATAAATAGTAACATTATCATTCTAAAAATAGAAACATTATCTATAAATAGTAACATTATCTATGAAAAGTAACATTATCTATGTATAGTGACATTATCTATGAATAATAACATTATCATTCTAAAAATAGTAACAATATCTATAAATAGTAACATCTATGAATTGTAACATTATCTACATACAGTAACATTATCATTCTAAAAATAGTAACAATATCTATAAATAGTAATATTATCTACATTTGTATGCGTGTAGCCTAAGAAACATTTCAAATTGGTAACAGAAAGATGCAAATGCACCTGGAAAAGTCACAACCTTAGTGGGATTCAAATATTCATTTCTCCACTGGTTTACAGGTAATTAATCACAAGCCTTCAGACCACTGTGCCAAAGACTTGATTCTTTGACACAGTTGTCACAGGTTGTATTTAAAGAAATCCAATAAGTGTCCATTAGAAGTATTTTCAATAAATAGTAACATTATCTATGAAGAAAAGCAGAAGAGCTAAAATTTATCATCAATAAAATTATCATAAAATCTATAAATAGTTATATCATCTACATGTATAAACAGAAATAGTAACATAATGTAAAACATGTCTTCTTATCTCATCTTATCACTACAACTGAATATGAACAAATAAAAAAGTTTTTTCTTTGTCAAATTATACACATTTGTAATTGTTTTATCAATTATAATATCGCAACAAAAAGATAAGATTTTTCCAGCTGAAACATCAACAGGTTGACCATTAGTTTAAACATACTCATTTTCAGAAAAAATACAGTCAATGATAATTATATATACAGTAACACTTCCAACTGATTCAAGTAATATATGGAATGGTCAAATCACAGAGAAAGTTTTGTGGTTTACCCATCGAAGGAAACCTTGCTAAGCCTCTACATGTTTTAATCCAGGGAATTGTTCTCTGGGTAGATAAACTACCTTTAGTAAATTATCAAGATAGCTTTCTCACCAGGTCGGGCAAAATCTGATTTTTAATTACTTAACCTTTTATCTAAAGCATTTCTTTATTTGTCTCTATGATATTTATAAAGAACATTCTATCAAAATTTCACTTGTCTATACAGGCTGTGGAACAACCTTGGCAATACAGACATTTGATTTTGCCAGCCCTGGTCTCATATGTATTCAGAATTCAACATCCCAGAAGTGACAAACATTTGGCCACAAAGCAAATATTATATGTAAATTTTTTTCCATCCTAAATAAAAGCAGAGTTTTGAAATAAGGTAAATTTTGAAAAAAGTCAGTCAAAAACTGCCAAATTATGGACTAAATTCTGAGAAAAATTAAGTATGTTATGCTGTTGGGACTGATCTGTTTAAAGGAACCAAGTAAATAAGGAAAAGTGTGATAAATTTGTATATAAAGATCCAAGTAAAAAGGAACACAGCACTGATAAGTATATTATATATAATTTCTCAGTTTATAAAGGTCACTTACCTAACTTCATGTAGCCGGGAGGCGGTTCAAAACAATTATCTTCTACAGTACAACTTGTAAAGCCTGCATCCTCTAACATAGACACGCCATCGACGGGAGTGTCTCGTGCAAATATGTTACCAAATGTGATCTTTGCCGTTAATACATGGAATAATGGAATTTCTAAAAACACAACATTTTAATTATTAGATAACATTATAAGTGTAGTTTCAATCATTATTATGAATCTCGAATTTGATCCAAAAAATCAAATAATATTGTACTTTCTGAATAATGTATGAGATAGCTTGAAAACTAAGTAACATGAAATAAATATAAATTTGTCTGTGATAGCTTTAAAGGGTATAAAGCTATATGTAATGAAATATGTTTATATTAAGGAAATCAATATTTACCACTCATGAATATTGTATATAAACAGAATAAAATGATCCAGAATATATTTATGCTGCTCTTTTAAGTAGAGTTTAATTTAAATCATTTATTAATGGTTTTGTGCATGCACAGAAATATTAAGAGGATATTTTTTCGTTTGAGTGAAATATGGAATATATTTTCACGAAACATGATAAAATGCCACATATTTTCACGAGCCGGGACGGCGAGTGAAAATATGTGGCATTTTATCATGTTGAGTGAAAATATATACCATATTTCACGAAAAACGAAAAAATAACCTTTTTATTTAATTTCATTATCAAAGAACAATGGTAATACACCCCATTGCTTGCTACGCAACTGCAATTGTACAGCGCGCAGTAATATGTTAATGCGTCTTGTTTTGCACGCGATATTTGGCGCTATATTTTGTGACGTCACGTAAACAACTCTTAAACGTCTGTACAGCATTAATAACTGAATTAAAAGATATTGGTGTTCGGATTTATTTTCTTAGTTAGACCATTTTCTATCATTCTAGATAGTTTTCAAAACAAAAATTCAACAAAAGTTGTTTTGTATTTTCAGATTTTTTCCAACAAAATGGGCGAAAGAAGTTCCCTGAAAAATAAATATGAGTTTTGACTCCGCCCACTTTCATATTTATATTTGATATTTATTTTTAAAAAATATGAAATATATTTGACTGATATAGCACCATATTTCATGGGTAAAATTAAATATACAAACATATTTCTTTCATTTTGCTAGTATTCTTTTTTTCAAAATTCAAATCATAATTTTAACAGTCGATATATATAGCTTTATAAACTTTAAAATAAAATGAATCACTTTGAAAGAAAATAAATCTTGAAATTTAAATAAACTTCTCACCAATTTTGATTGGAAATCCTGCAGGTAGCTGCAACGTAATAAAATCCTTCAACTTTTTAAAATGTGCATTACTTGCGGCCATTAAGTCTATAATAGGCACCACTTGTTCCTGTAAGGAAAGGGGGTATGTTTCACAAAGCCATAAAGTGGCTTTAAATTTTTGAGTTTTTGTTGTCAAATCCGATGGCCGGCCTACATCACGCTCGCCAAGATCTATCATTTTATTGAAATATTCCTCTGGCGTAATAGAGCACGGGTTGTTTGACATTGTTGTGAGGTCCTGTAAACAAAAATAAAAAGTATTCAGTGCACTTCGTATCAAACAGACAACATTGAAAAAATAGAATGTCAAGTCAGAATGCCTATATTTATCTGGCTTAATAAGAAAGTCTATGAATTGAAAAGGGTTATATACCTCCAAATGTCACGTTTATGTAAGTAAATGTCACACTCAAAGCTTTGAGATGTTTTGATATAGACTATGAATAATAGTAAATGTAACACTTAAGTTTTGAGATAAGAAATGCATACTTCATTTGAGGCATCATTTGTACAAATCTCAAATACCTACCCCATTTGAGGCATTTGGTGTTAAAATTTCAAGTACCTTCCCCATTTGAGACCCCAGGTCTTTAACTCTTAAATATTTATCCCACTTGAGGCCTCATGTGTTAAAATCTCAAAAACCTTCCCCATTTGAGACCCCATGAGTTAAATCTCAAATACCTATAAAATTTGAGGCCATATGTGTATAAATCACAAATACTGACCCCATTTGGGGCCTCAGGTGTTTAATTTCATAAATATATAACTCATTTGAGGCCTGGTGTATAAATCTCAAATACCTACCCATTTCAGACCCCATTAGTTTAAATCTCAAATACCTATCTAATTTGAGACCCCATGAGTTTAAATCTCAAATACCTACCAAATTTGAGACCCCATGTGTTTAGAAACATTAGAGGCCCTTTGTGTTTAAATCTCAAATACTTACCCCATTTGAGGCCCCTTGTGTTTTACTATGTTCCTCTGCTACTCCTAGGAATGATTCTATTGGTGTTTTATTGTTCTTTTTACATTTTTCCTTGTCTTGTTCTGTTAAATGTTCCATGCGAGTTTTTGTGACTAGTTCTACATTGGATGCACTAAACACCTGTAAATGAAAAAAGTTTCTTTTAAAAGCATTCATCTGAAAAAAATATATGCCATCTTCAAAGTCTTAAAAGGATGAACAATTTATACCATTAGGCAAAATTGTGTTTAAATTGATGATTTTTTGATAGTTATAATGCACTGAAAATGATTTAATATACAATTTGCCTGTGCATAACTCTGTCCA